GAGCAGCTCTCACAGACAGAGGATCACAACCAGTTTCTCCTCAATTGTCCTGTATGGGCAGACGTTACTTGGCCTACATACTTCTCCATATTTGATGGCATTCCTCCAGGATACTTTGAGAATGTGACAGAAGCTGTGTCAGCGGTCAAAGCCATTGTGGCGGACTTGATTTGCGATGGATGGCCAGAGATCTCTGAGACGATATCAAAAGTGGATGTTTTATTGTCAGAACCAGAACTATCCACCAGAGAGGACTTCTTAAGATACGCAGTAGACATCACACTGGACCCAGACACGGCGCACCAGGAGATTCGCTTATCCAGAGGAGCCCGGAAAGCTTTATCGATGGGAACACTGCAGAATTACCCCAACAACACAGACAGATTCAAGAATCCTTTGCAGGTCCTGAGCAGAGAGCGCCTGACTGGCCGCTCCTACTGGGAGGTGCAGTGGAGAGGAAGGGCAGTCGATGTCGCCGTTTCATACAGCAACATCAGCAGAGCAGGAGGCTTGGAGAAATCTGAGTTTGGGTGGAACAACAAGTCCTGGTCGCTGCACTGTCACTCAGCCGGTTACACGTTCTGGCAGAACTCTGTCCACACGCCGGTGTTGAGTCCTCCTTCGTACAGAGTCGGAGTGTTTCTGGATCCCAAAGCAGGAAGTCTGTCCTTCTACAGCGTCTCTGAAACCATGACTCTCCTCCTGAAAATCCAGACCACATTCACTCAGCCGCTACACGCCGGGCTGAGGTTCCCCAACTCTAGGAACGACACCGCTGAGTTTGTGAAACTGAAGTAGCTTCAATGTGTATTTAGGTTTCCTATGGAAGAGAATTAGGGTAATAAAAAAAGAGTAGACTTTTTTCAATCAGACCTGGGTGTAAACCAGGTCTGATTGAAAAATCAGACCTGGTTATTTCTATAGTTTAGAAATAACTGGCTAAAGTCGAACATGTTCCTCCAGAAAGCTTGCTGTCCTCTTCCACAACTTGCCCATCTGCTTTAAAGTCCAAATTCTTTGCTTTTTTTCAGTGGCCCTAATGCTCTTCCATAGTTTCTAGTTTTACTCAATGAAAGCTAATTGCTGTTTTCTCACCACTTTTGCACCCAGTGTGGCCATTTGAGCATTTTCCAGGAGAAGGTAATATCAAAATGAAAAATGTGCCTTTGATTGAAAACACAACCAACTACAATCAGTTTGGTTACTTATAGAAAATGTTAAAAGTCGAGTGTCTGTTTTCTGATTTCTGTTGCTCTAGGCAAAAATAAATTCAGTGACATTTTGAAAACACACTCGCTAGTTTTGTCTTCTCTCAGTAGAATTTTCTGCAGTTTTCTGATTTTTAAAATGTGCCTACCCTGCATAAACCAGGCCTGCAACACATGAGGGAAACATAGGTGTGATATGAATGTTGAAAACTGAGATGATGGATCTGGATGGATCAGGTATTCTGCCTTTCTGTGGCGCCTCTGGAACCATGACTCTCCTCCACAGAGTCCAGACCAGATTCACTCAGCCGCTACATGCTGAGGTTTATGTTTTACTCTGATGGAGTCACTGCAGAGCTCATCAGGCCCAGTTACTGGATAAATCATATCAAATGGGACAAAACTGCTTGGTGCCATGTGGTTTTCTATGGGAAGCAAATATTTTATTAACGTCTCTGTTCAGCCTTAATCTTGTTTCTGGAGATCCAGAAACTGTATTCACATTAGATAGACTAACTTTTTAAAAATGTAAAAACATCATCTGCATAAACACTAATAGTATTTGAAATTGTCATAGTTTTCCATTGAAATCTTGAAGTTGTTGAGTTTAAAATTTAGAGCCTGAAGGATCTGGATCATTGAACTATAAACGTCTTCATGGGGACAAATATGTTTTTTATTCTTGAAACATTTAAAATGTAAAGGATCAATGACTGCGGTGCCATTTCTTAATTTTCATATGTTTAAGCAATAATTTGAGTTATTTAGCTTTTTATAAGAGGAAAAGAAAAGGGGTTAATTTTAGTTAAAACGTTAAATATTTTATTTACAAACTAAATATAAGATTGGGAAACTAAATATTTAACTCAGACCCAGCTATTTAGCTTGTTTTAAGCTAAATAAATAGTTTAGCTTTGTAAATATTTAGCATTTATAAATGCCACTAAATATTAAGTTAGCAAGCTAAAGATTTAGCTCATGTAAATGTTATCTTGAAAAAAACTAAACATTTTGTTATCAAGCTAAATATTGTTTATAGCTAAAGGAAAATTTAGTTTAAAATAGAAGTAGACATCAACATTAACCTGTTGGTAACAGTACAGTGAGCATATTTTAAAGATTACTAGAAATATTTTTCACTGTATTTTATTTGTTTTTATTTTCAGTCTTGGCATTACTTTAATCACATATACACTTATTTTGTATTGCTTGATGACTAATTTGTGTAAAATGTGATTATTTGCATATAAATGCTGTAAGCTTAGTTTACACCACATGGAAGCTAAAATGATCGAGAAAAGTCTTTATTCTCTTATAAACCCAGATTTCACTACCTCAGTTCCTTACTTGAATCTTCCAGCAGTTTTTATCATGTTGCATTAGTAATAAAACATTTTTGTTTTATAGAGAATCTAATTATGGCATCACTACCTCTGTATGTCAACATTTTATTTTTCTGCTTGTAGCGAAGTAAAAAAATGTTCTGCTGCCATTTTCATTGTATAATTTTCTTTTAAATGATATTAAAGTCCTGGAGCTAAAACAGCTTCAACATGTTTCTCCTTCATCTCCAAACACATAATTTCTCCAGGTTTCGTTAATATCAAACAACAAATACATTGAATCTGTTACTATCACCTCTTTTGCACAAACGTATTTTAAAGTTGTATGAACCCCATTTTTTTTAATGCTGGACTAAATAATCCAGATTATCAATGCTAATTTTTAATTGTGTAACTTTACAAATCACATTCCATATGATGTTGTTGAACAGTTTCACATAAATAAGGATACATGTACACATTTCTAAGGGGATTGAAACCAATTTTATCTCAAGGTAGCGCCATCTACTGAAAAAGGAAAGCGATTGTAGTTCAGACTGGAAAATGTAGAAAGATTAGAGAAAGGTTCCCAGTGATTATTTACTGGTTTTCACTGTCCCAGTTCAGTCTGTTTGTCTTGATTATCAGAATACGCAGTGATGATATGAGAATAAAAAGAAAGGGAACAAGAGCATGAGACGGTGGGAATGTGACGGACCAGACACAGAAGGTGAAGGGTCCAGGATGGTCGGTGGGCAGAGGCAGCTTTTTTTTTTCATTTCTGCGTAAAACTCTGTTACAGTTGTTGTCAGAGGACATTTTGATCCAGGGAATATTACAAACTCAGAGTTGGACCTGCGCAGCCGGTGTTGGAGGTCCTCCAGAGTCTCCGTCTTCAGATATTTGTGTTTGGACTCGTCCTGGACGTTGTGGCCCCAGTGCCCGCTCGCTATCCACGCCTCGGCCACGGCGCTGTAGCAGCAGAACGCCGACCAGAGCGCGGTGGGGACGTTGACCCTGTTGTTGAGGGTGCTGCTGGAGCTGGGCAGGGCCCCGGTCACCACAAAGCCCCCGGTACCGCCGCTGCTGTTGACGCAGTACTTCTCCATCACGCATTTGGTGCACCTGGAACACGGTTTCATTTCAACAATGTCATCCATGTTAACTTCAGCTACATTTTGACATTGATTCTCTTGGCATTCATTGGTAAAAGTCATGTGGCTCTTGACAGTTGGAGGTTACCATAGCAACCAGTAACTGGCAGATCCTCCCCCTTTTTTCTGTTTTGTCTTTAACTGTGGCCTGGGATCAGCTCTGTGTTATGTTGCATTTTAGCATATATTTTAGATCAATTTAAGTATATATATATATACATGGGTTATATATATACAAGGGTTTTTTACTTGATTTTCTCTCGTTAGGTATGTTTTGATCTTTAATACGAAGTAATGTCTCAGTTATCCACTGTGTGTAATAGTCTTACACGTAACAGGGTTTGATTTGATGTGAACTTTATCAAAACGTATTTATTATTCAAATTTATTTTGTTTTATCAAATTTATTTTCTCCTGACATTCATTGGTGAAAAAGTAAAGCAGCTCTTGGCAGTTGGCGGTTACCATAGCAACCAGTAACTGAAAGCGCCTCCACTTTTTTCTACTGCCGTCTGTAACTATGCTTTTCTTTACAAGTATTATATAACAATATATATTTTTAGAGTGATTTAATTATACAAAGGGTTTTGTGTGTAATTTTGCCATATTTATGTGTTTTTGGTATGTAATGTGCGTTTTAGGCATGTTTAATTTTACAACTGTTAACTGCTCATTGAGAGCTATTGGGCTGTAGGTTGTTTCACGTTATTTATTGTAGTTTATTTACTGTATAGGGGCAGAAGCTGCCGGACTGATGTTAACTGACTTGATTTTTTTCTCTTGTTAGAATAAATTCAGTGAACCTGAGTGAGTCTGTTGTGAAGTCGGCCATGTTGGACCTGAAAGTTTACACACCTCTCCATTTTGTTCCAGCTGCCCTTGTTGAAGGACTCCGCTTGGGGAACGACGTTCGTCAGGGTGAAAGTCGACATTTTGTCCGCTTTGGTTGAGGCGTAGGAACTAGGAAATATGTGACCCCGGTCAAATGTTCTGTTGGATCTGTAATCCACAGTGCCGGCCTGGTGGTTGTAGGTTCTGTTCCCATTTCCGGGGATCATCTTCTTGTCTCCATTTGGATCCTCCAGCTGTGAAAAGTGTAGTGGAGGAAGGAAAATGAATATAAGTTCAAGACAGAGAACAGACATGTTTTTGTTTCTTCTTGTTGTGAAATGAACGTCTTCCTCCTTTTTTAGGGAGCTTTCACAGCGACACTGTTTAGTCTGTTTTAATTGAACTCCAGTTTGTTTGTCTAGAAAGTCCGATTTGTTTGGGGTTGTGTGAATGGGGTTAGGATTAGGCACAGTCTGACCAAAAAAGCAAACCCTGGTGCCAGAGGCTCAACTACATACTTTCTGAGGTGTATGCGAACACGTCATTGGCGTGTTCGCAATGGCGTGTTTCTTCCCCCGTGACATAAACTTGTACAACTCATATTTAACTAAAGTATCAATTATAATAAATATACATGTGAATAAATTGCTGCCTACATGCCAATTAAAAACTATGAAACAAAAATCAGGGCAATGTTTCATCATTTAACATATAAGTGAGTCAAAGAGCCACTTCTGTTAGCCTGAGCCGCCTCTGGGCTGCAGGTCTGAGGCGTTTTGTTAGTTTTCTATCATTCTTATAGCTTCATAGGAAGCCTGATCCAAACTGGCAACCCACATTAATAAAATGGTGAAATATTATTGACCACAAAACACTGAATTTATAAAAGATATCAACATTTTTCCTACACAATCCTAACGTTTTTAATGTTGAAAAAATAAACGGTTTATTTTCACAATATTTATTTATTTACTATTAATCTATTTGTATGATTTGTTCTTTAAATTGCCATTTATATTATTTTTCGGTCTCAGGAAATGATTAAGGGATGAAGAGACTGATGTCTGGTTCTGTAGGATCTGGCGGGTCTGCGCTGTTCTGACCCGTTCTGTCTGATATCAAACAACCCACTGAATATCACTGAGCCATTTTTTAATGCCCCTATTAACCTTCACTGTGATTGTTTAGCCTGTGTCTCCCCACCACGTATTTCTGCCAGAGGTTTTGCTTCCAAGGACGGTGGAGAACCGAGTGGACATTTTAAAAAGACGAGGGTTGATAGCAGATCAACGAAGAAGTATGGAGTGAAAATAGTCTCAAAAAAGATTTGTGTGTGCGTAAAAGGATATAGATAGATAGATAGATAGATAGATAGATAGATAGATAGATAGATAGATAGATAGATAGATAGATAGATAGATAGATAGATAGATAGATAGATAATGAGAGAGAGTTATATCTATAGATAGATATGTATATACATATCTACATCTATATATCGATATCTATAAATCTACCTCTCTTTATATTTATAGAGAGAGAAATAGATGTATATATATAGAGATAGATATATATAGCTTGATATCGATATGTAGATATATATAAATATCTATATATTGACTTATATATATTTATAGAGAGACAGACAGATAGATCTAAATGGATAGATTTAGAGGAAGATAGATAGCTCTTTCTGTTCCACATTGTTTACATTTTATTTCTCTAAATCTCCCTATAATTAATAAATGTGGTTGTCTGCTTTTCTGTTTCGAATTAGAAATAAACATCTTAGAGTGGACGAACATGAGTACTGATGTTAAATGTGGGTGAAGCCGGACCTCTTGGAGAGAACCCACACCTGCAGGGGTAGACATGTCCCCCCGTGCAGTTCTGCCTGTTTAATATTGAAATGTCCAATTAACAACAGCAGCTCTTTTTCCAGTTCTTAAAGTTTCCAATTCTACAGGAACCTTACTTGTTATGTAAGGTTCCTATGGATGAACAGTGGATGAACATGAGTACTGATGTTAAATGTGGGTGAAGCCAGATCTCTTGGAGAGAACCCAGACCTGCAGGGGGAGACATTTCCCCCCGTGCAGTTCTGCCTTTTTAATATTGAAATGTCCAATTAACGACAGCAGCTCTTTTTCCAGTTCCTGCCAATCATCCAAACCACAGGTGGCCCCAGCCCCCTTTTAAATCTAATATCTAATTGACTCTACCCTGGATGGACTTCAGGTCTGTCCTTGAACTGGCACCGATGTTTTGGAGTTAAGGCCATCTTGATTTGCCAGATCTTTTTCCTTGGGCTCTCTTCTTGTTCATTGTTCTCCTCAGATGATTCTTCAGCTGCTTGATATTCAGATTCCTGAGATGTTGTTTGGATTAGATCTTCCTGTCATGTAATCTCTATCTGTGGAGGGGATGTTCTCTGTTCTTCCTTTAGGCCACTCTGTCCTTCTGTGGAAACTTCATGAACCTTGCCTGTTATGTCTTCTGAAACTGTGCAAAGTTTTGTCTCCATTTGTTCAGAAACTGTCTGAGGGATCTCTGGTGTTATTTCTGAGTCAGATTTTGGTGTCTTAGTGTTTGGGACTGAGTTTTGATCTGTCTCTATTGGTCTTGCAACGGTTTCTAGTTCAGCTTCCATTGCCATCTTTCTCTGTTTCTTGCATTCAGATTTAGACAATGGTTTTAAAATCAAATTAACATAATTTTCGATGTCAGCTGTCTGATCCCCAATTGTTTCTGATATAGAAACTTCTTGCTGTTCATCATTTGCTCCAGAAACATTTTCATTGTTCAGGGTTTCCAATAGCCTGGTCTGCCGATCCGGATGTCCATTCAGTTGTGCTTCACAGGGCTGGTTTTTCAGCAATAAACAGAGCTCAGTTCGTGTTGACATCGTCTGATAAACTGGTTTGAATTGACATCTGGTTTCCAGTTCATCTATCTCGGTTTGGGTCGAAATTGTTCGACAGACTGGTTTTAATTGTGAGCCGGTTCCCTGTACATCCGTCTCTGTTTGTGCTGAAGCAGACTGGTAGACTGGTTTCTGCTTTGAGTCGTCTTGTCAATCTGTCTGAACCTGAACAGAAACCATTGACTTCTTGCGCTGTCTTCTCTCTGTGAGTACTTTCCTTATGAGATCGTTCTGCTGTTTAACTTTATCAAATAATTTATGACTCAGATTGACCACCTCATCAACCCGTTTCATTAAATATTTTTGTTCTCTGATATATTCCAATTCACGCTCCTTAAATTTGGCTTCACACGAACATTTTGCTTGACTTGTCTTTTCAGATTACCTTGTTTGAGAAGGACCTGGCTGCAGAATTTATAAGAAATGTATTTACAAATTTAAAAATAAATCTGATAAGTACATAGCATACTGGCTAGGAATAAAAATCCCCACATCGTTTTTGCGCCCCCTCTAGTGCAGCGACGCATTGCATCCACTGCATACCCACTTTTTGTGCCACTGCCTGGTGCGGTATATATGTGAGCGCTAAGTGGACCGGAGACCGCTCCAAAACCAGGAAGTGGACCATAGCGCAGTGCATTCTGGATAAACACAACCAAAGCAAACACGCTAGTCTAGTGTAAGAAATGGATTGTGGTCTTTTGCCAATGACAAAAGTGAAAAACTACAACTGCTAAAATCTGACACCACTCCATTTTTGCTTACATTTTGTGATTAAGGAAGTTAATCACAAAATGATTAACTTCTTGATTGTCTTCTTCAGAGGTTTTTGTGTCATTTTCCCTTCAGTGGTTCTTGGTGTAGCGCCCCCACAGGCAAGGAGGGGAACAGGTTTTTCAAAGGGTTTGGTTGGTTTGACTCTGCATTATGAAAGCCTACCACACCATCTGAAAATATAACAAATGTTGTAACTTTGGTCCCAAATCGAACAGAGTCTGCCGGACTCTCAGGTGTGAAAACAAGCCTACCTGAGGTTCTATCTTCCAAACACTTTTAGGTCTCCTTCCGTAAACTTCTCCAGTGAACTTGAAAGCAGAAAACACCGGAATCCGGTTGCGAACATCGTAAAGTGTCACAAATCTCCTTTGGTTCCCGTAGGTCTGGCAAATGAACTTGTACCGGTCCTGATCGAGGATCCTACCGGCCTCCAGGATGCCTGGAACGTGCGGTGGTGTTTGGTCAAGAAGGAAGCGGTCGCAGTCCGACACTGACTTCATCACTTCTGCAAACGTTTGTACGGACAGGAGGAAGAGAAGAGCTGTAGTTGGCAGGAAACACCAAACCTGCTGAGACGTCATGTCCTTCAATCAGAGACAAAAGTGGGTCGATCTAGATCTGCTCTGCAACAGTCAAGCATCAAAAACAGTTAGCAATGCGGATACATTTTTCTGAGGATTTACAATCTGCTGGGTTTTAGTAGAGAAAACTTTTTAAACTAATTTGAATAATAAACTGAGCTCAATTCACTGTTGACAACCAGGATAAATTGGAATGAATTTCCTCTTTGCTGAAATGTGAGACAAACAAGCCTTGCCTTCCTGAAGGTTATTGCTGATAATGCATCAAGTCACGAATCTTGAACTGAAGAACTGGAGAGCCAACCCCGTCTACACCGTCCACACAGAACTTACCAAGTATTTTCAGTCGGGTTTTTGGTGATATTTTAGTTTTGTCTTATATCAAGTGTATTAACTTACACGCAACTTCGCAGCAGAGAGATTATCAGTCGTTAATTAGTTTCCTATATAATTTGAAACCCAAATATTTAGTTTGCAAACTAAATATTTTGTCAGAAATCCAAACTAAATATTTAATTCACAGGGTAAGTCTTTCGTTTGTAAACTAAATATTTAACTGAGATACAAATTTAGTTGCAAGCTAGATACTTAGCTTCCTAACTAAATATTTAATTTAGTTTGGAAATTAAATGTTTAATTGTAGTAGCATAAATGTAGGAATAATATGGTGAAAATATGACTTTGAAAATGCCTTTTTTTTTCTCTCACAGGCTAAATAAACCAATTTGCTGGTGTTTTTTTTATTCTATAACTTTATAAATGGCAGAACACAACTTCCATCCCGCTAAATGTGACCAAATAGGAAGAAATAATCATATTTAATTTGTCTTTTGAAAGTACCACTGAGTTTACAAATAATCCCTCTTGTTGAAGTCAATATTTTCTTAATATTGTTGAAAAAGTACCAATTCCACTGGCAGATTTTCCCCTATAATACATTTTTCACATGTTACAGGTGAAATAATCTGCCAGCGGAAGTTAAAAAAAAATCTATATTAAAGAATTGACTTAAACAAGTTCAAGACCTGTAAGCTACATTTCAAATAAGATAAAACTGATATTACCACTAGCAGCTAGACAAAAAATACTTGAATTTTATGTTTTTGCAGTATATGTTACCCACAAGGAATATAGAAATTTTAAATTTTGTCAGTATGTTGGAATAACAAAGCCATTGAAACTACAAACTGAAAATATGGAATTGAAATATTGAACTTGACCCACATATAAAGTTGTAAATAAGTAAATTCGTATTGTCTCATCATATTCACATTTTTAGTTAAAAACATTAACTCACCGCTTCTTACGAGAATGTGCCACGGTGACTTTGCTCCCTTTAATGAAGAAATACATTTCATTTCCTCAAACATGACAGGAAGTCGTGGCTCATTCGCATGACAGAATGTGAGGTCTGATGTTTGAGATAACCGTTTCAAGGAAATTAACGTTAGTTTTCTCTGAAACCTGCTGCATGTCTCGTGTTTTAATTCCCCCTGACCTTGTGGTGAAAAGTTGATGGTTCAAATGTCAAAGGAATGTCACAAATGACACGTGGTGGAGAAAATATAAAGCTTGTGTTTATATGCAGTCTCTGGGGTACGGATGCGTTCATCGCTGAGGTCGACCTGGCACTGTTACCATGGCAAGGAGGATAAACAAACGCACTGAAATGCTTTGGGAGTCTGTTAAAAAAAATTAATTTATTTCAGTTAAGTACATTCATAAAGTTGAAACTCATACCATAATGTATATGTTCGTTTTGAGGTTTTATGGCCCAAGGATAATACACATTACACATTCAGTGTGAGTAGACCAGTAAGAAACTGTACTGGGAGTTGGGGCTCCTTTTGCATGAATTACTGCATCACCAGCAAATGACATGGAGCCCCGAAGCATCACTGACTGTAGAAACGGCTCTTCATGACAACATTAAGTTGCTTTGTAACAACATGTTGTTGTTATAAAGCATAACTGTGTTATACTGTTATAAATATGTTATAAACAATATGTTGAAACAATCTGTGATTAGCAACAACATGTCACTTTAACAAAAGTCTGAAAAGTTAAACTTTGTTTTAGCATATTGTTACAAAGCATTGATATTCTGCTGCAGCAACAATCTATTGTTATAAACAATATGTTGTTACAAAGCAACATTGTTACAAACAGTAATGTTGCTTTATAACAATGTTAAACAATATATTACAAAGCAACATTGTAACAAAGCAACATACTGTTATTGTAAGACAACAATGTTAACAGCAATATTGTTGCAGTATAATCTGTTACAATGTTGAAACCATGTTAAAAATATTATAAAACCATGTAAAGCAACATATTGATGCTTTATAACTCACCATTAAGATTGTTTATAACACTGTGTTATAAAGAGTGTTATAAACATGTTTTACACACCACAATATGATGAAACAATGTGTGATAAGTCTAAAAAGCTTAAACTTTTTTCCCCCCAAAGAAATGTCCAAAACTGGATAGTTTAAACCACTGGCAGGCCACAAAATTTATTTCATTAAAAATGCAAAAATTAGTTATATATATATTTTAGGTTTAATTTAAGTGATGGTTTCACATGAAACTCAGTCTGTGCTGCAGTTAAACCACACCTCGGCTTGTGAGTTTCTTTACTTTCAGTAAGAACTCCAACAAGTAGAAGAAATAAAGCTTAGTAAAAAAATATTTATTTCCACCCAACATGTTGAAACGCCTGGCTAAGCCTCCACAGTCAGAGAGCGTCGCTCAGTTCCCGTTAGCCGTCCTGAACCGGGTTCAGCAGAGACGGAGCAGACGTGGTCGGTTCCTCTGGACGCCTCGACGCTTCATCGCGTTAAGCAGCGTTACTGTGCAGAATGCTGTCCTCCCGTTTGTGGCTTTAAAATATAAATATGTATACCACAGAGCCTTTAGAAAGGTTACGACAGCAGGGTGCGTCTTCAGCGAGGATGAGGAGGAGCCTGGAAGGTCAGCATGAAGAAATACCGTCGTCCTCCAAAACGTCTGAGAGCATCAGGTAAAGCTGAGAGAAAGATGGACGCTCCTCCGGTCTCTGCAGAGAGAAAAATAAAACTTCAGGCACTTCCTCTAGAAAAACAGAGCAGAATCTGGAACTCTTAAAGGGCCGGTATGCGTTTTCCAACCTCATTGAGCCATTTTATACAACAATAAGGTAACTGTGTTGCGCCAAAATGGAACAAGGCACCAAACTAGTATTTTTATCTAGTTTTTAGTGCAAATCTCTCAGTACACTTGAAATGAGACACATTTTAACTTGCAGGTAATTTTTCAGCAAAAAAAGGAGCTTATTTTAGTGTGAAATATTTACTATCCAGTTAACGTTGGTAGAAGTTTTAACTTCCACCAACGTTAAAACTAATGATGTAGTTTTACAACTAATGATGTAAAACTACATCATTAGTTTTACCAAATAGAAAATAGGAATGTCGTAAAGGAAATAAATAAATCTCTGTTTTGGCTAAAAAATATTCCTTTCATCTACAACAATACCGTTTCAAAGTTAAGCATTGAAATAACAGAACAGACCACCAGATGGCGCTATATTCAATAATGAATAACGATTGCTCTGGAAATAAGACCTTTCTTCATCAAAAATACAAATATATTAGTGCTAATTTCCATCTTCACTCCATAAAAACAGAAAAATCATGCAATTAGTACCACTTACAGACAGCAGTGTTATACATATTGTAAAACGTATATTCAATAAAAAGGCAGTTAAAACATAAAAACTCATCCCACTTCTGTCGTTATGTAATCAAGTAGAATCTTCTCATTGACAATAGTCAGAATTTCTTTTTAGATTATTTTTTTATCATTATAATAATATATCAGATTATTTACTTGAATACATATATTTTTTGTTAACTCCATGTTAAAACTTTCTCCAAAGGAGTGCGCGAACTGAAAAATCCCTCCACCAGCATGTAATTTGTGCCGTTTGCTCTGTGAATCAGACGCCAAATTGGAACAGGGCATAAAATCAGTAAAGCAGTGAAATGTTACAGAAAGAGGCTGAAAAGGCAGACATCTACAGTTTTCCTTCCACTTACGTTGTCCCAACAGAGCTGCATGATGTCGTACAAGGCGGGCGGGGCCATTTTGGGCCGGAACAGCCGATGGCCGTTGGTTACCATGGCAACCACTTCGTGATTGAGACTTTGGTCGAACGGCATTTGGCCCTCTGTGAACACCTCCCACATCAGCACGCCTGGACACACACAAACACGAGCGTGTTGATGTCTTCAAATGCACCCTTACATGCTCTTAAATGTTCCTGTTTTAGCTCATCAGACAAGTTTTAACATTAAAAAAAAAAAATGGTTTTCAAATAATTATTTGGTTTATTAAACTGTCAGAACCCAACCAACCCAATGCTTTTGTTGTATTTTTCCAGGTTTTGTTTGTCTGATGATAAAATAATCTGAAAAACGGTGGTGTTCCCACCATCGCTAATCTTCCATTAGCAGAGCTAAATTTTCATTTAGCGCTTTTGCTAACTTTGAAAACACTTAGCACACTTAGCTTCTCCTGGACAAATTTATTTAGATAATTCCAATACTAATTCACTTTTCTGTTTTGTAAACTTTCACTTGGATAAAGTTCAACATCTGTGTTGACGTTTTTATTATTAACTGTTAAGAATTCTTCATTTAGTTGTAAGTTTATATTCATGCTCTTATTTTGAAATGGGAGACGTAGCAGATCCGTTTCCTCTCATATTCTCTTTTCCCCCCTCCAGTAAATGTTTAAAACTACAAACATACAGGAAATAAAACACAGACAGCAGAGAAAAATATATAAATATAAATAAAATAAGGGTAAAAGAGAACATAAAAATTATAATGACAAATTTAAAGTGGTGATTGAGGGTGTATATATATTTTAAACTTTAGTTAGCGCTTTAGAATTAGCTTCCGCTAGCTTTACCATTAGACTCCTCTAGTCTAGCACTAGTTTCTGCTAGCTTTAGCATTAGCTTCCTCTAAATACCATCTTGGTTTGTTGTTTTAGAGTTAGCAGAAGTAATGTTGACTCATTTAAGGGTGAGTTTCTCAGCTCTGTATGGGTGTTGATGTGTAAATGTGTTGCTATGCGGTTCAATCGCCCTCACCGTACGACCAGACGTCCGACTTGCTGCTGAACTTGCAGTAGTTAAAGACTTCAGGTGGAGACCACTTCACAGGAAACTTGGCGCCTTTGGTGCTGGTGTACTGGTTGTCCAAGACGTATCTGCAAAAGGAGCGTTTAAAGACCGCAGATCTGGTTGAGTGATATGAAAATAATCAGAATATGGAGTCATACCTGGCCATGCCAAAGTCAGAAACCTTCACCACCATGGCGTCGTTCATCAGGCAGTTCCTGGCCGCCTTCAGAAGATAAACAGCCCATAAATTAAACGGCAGCAGTGGGTTAGCCCCAATCAGAACCAGTGAAGAGCCGTACCAGGTCTCGGTGGATGAAGTTGTTTGCCTCTAGGTACTCCATGCCTTCGCAGACGTCCAGGCACATTTCGAGCAGCAACCCGGGGCTGAAGCTGCCGCGCCGCTGCCTCAGGTAGTTCACCAGGCAGCCCTGCTGCATGAACTCTGTGACGATGTAGATGGGCCTCTGCTGGCTGCAGACGCCATACAGCTGCACCAGCTTAGGGTGGGACAGCTTCCTGGAGAGACGGCAGGAGAATGACCGGACCGTCAAAAGAAAATCCAGGTTTTTGGGTTCATTCACACCAGTCCTGGTCAGTCCGCTCTAACTGAACTCCAGTTTGTTTGCCAAGACTGTTCGGTTCAATTGTCTGTGGTCTCTGATACTAACTCTGGTCCACTTAAAATCTCTGTCTCGGTTTAGCTGAAGTGAATTCTGATTCATTTCAAATCCATATGTGAACATCAAGCGAACCAGAGCCCGCTCCACAAGCAGGAAGTGGGCTACAGCACAGGGCATTCTGGGTAAATACAACCAAAACAAACACACTAGTCTAGTGCTGGTGGGAGAGATCATTTGTCCATCTTTTACCAAAGATGGACAAATGATACAATTGCTAAAATCTGAGGCTACTCCATCTTTGTTTGTTTTGAAAGTTACGCTGAGTGGCTGCATTTCCATTACAAATGTGCGCAAAATTTGTAGATGTCCCACTAACGTCGAACAAACACTATTTCGGAATTGCTGTGTTTCTGTTAAATAAGAAACAGAATTAAAATCACATGTGTGTTTAAATCACATGATGTCTTTAAAAATATGCCACTGCATGATCCTCCAACTACTTCCTGTTGTCGTCTTCTTCATGGTTTCTGCCAGTAGTAACATCCGTTTGTTGATCATGTGACTCGTATGATGCGAAAAAGTCATTTCCATTGAAGGACAGCAAAATAAACCAATTTTGATAAAAAAACAAAACAAAAAAAAAAACACTTCATCATAGCGTAAAAACATTTTAGAAAAATAAATTACTTTTCCATTAAGCCAAATTTATTTTCCCACCCACTTTGGAAAACACTGGAAATAAGGGTCTCCAACCCAACTCAAATCTTCTTTCTTTGAACAAATCTGATTATTACAAATGTTTTTAGTTGCAGTACCTTTCATTAATCACTAGATGGCGACAATTTAAGAGTACACCACTGAAGTAATTCTAGTTTTGCTCGTTTTCTCGTCCTTACATCATGAGTTTGGCCTCTTCGATGAAGTCCTCCTCGTACATGGCGCCCTCCTTGATGGCCTTGATGGCCACCTTGTGCTGGGACCTCCACATGCCGAGCCTCACCTGGCCGTACTGACCGCTGCCCAGCTCCTTCATGAAGGTCAACTCGCTCGGGTTGATCTCCCACATCTCTGCAGATACAACAGATCCAGGGTTAGACGAAGAGCAGGAAAATACTGTAAAATACGCCAACTAAAGTCTGAAGTAAAGGCCTTCAGCGCTTTAGAAAGATTAACAATAATGGCTGCTACTCACCGTAGCTGAAACCCGCCGTCGACGGACCTGACTTGTCCTGCTTTCCTACAGGATATCTGAGCCTGGCAGCAAGACCTGAACAACAAATAATTCACACATAAATTATCTGCTATTCAAATACTTAAAGGGGCAGTAATGAGTATTTTTCAGCCACATAGTGACATTTTATAGTACAGTCAACTATGTTGCCTTTAGTTGTTATAAAAATGCTACATATATCAAATATAACAAAATAAATTTGACTGCAATTCAACATCTTTAAATGGGGCCTGTCTCTTTAAGAAGATCCTGCTCTGTCTAAAACTTCGCCTCCAGGAAGTCATCCCAGCATGGCTCCACCGTAACGTTTTTACCAGCGTTTCACTGAGAAGCAGCTCCTATAATGAGCTCAGCAGATGCTCATTTCCACCACGTGTTTGCTAATTGCTGCTGGCTAGTCTGAAGGAGCCAAGTTGACTCTAGGACGCTTTGAAATTGCAGCTGGGAGGAGCAGCTTCGGCCTTAAAGGCGGGGCTATGTCCACCCAGGCGTTTTGCACAGTTGGATTATTGCCATGGAGATTAAAGGATTTCTCAAGCAGTCATGAAATAATCAATGTTGTAATATGATGTAAAGCTGAAAAAGTTAATTTTACATGACACTGCCCCTTTAAGAATTAAATCCTCTCTGTATCTCACACCAAATTGTATTGAAACTTTGAGTTTAATTAAACAGCTATTCAAAGAAAGAAAATAGAATATAAAGTTTAGATGTAATGTTGGTGCTAAGTATTGGTTAGCATAGCATGAATTTACATAGAGATAACATTGGTTAGCGTCGGCTAAGCTTCGTTCTGCTGGGTTTTTTGTTACCGGCTCCGTTGTGGCTGTGGTACTCGATGAGTTCAGGGATGGAGCTGAACAGGTGTTTCTCAGCCAGGTAAAACTTTCTGGGCGTGCTTCGCGTCTCTTTAATGTGATAATGTTTAATCATTGGACCTCCTTCCCTACAAAACACAACAAAACAGCAGATCAGAGGGAGAAATAGAAACAAATCCATGTTAAACTGAAGCCGAAACATTTGGTCTGTAAGCAAAACACAACATGGGGAGGAAAACTATCACTGCATATCTTTTGCTATGTGTTACAATGGCCTAGTCCAAACCTTCCAAACCTACAGCTGGGAGCCTGAGGTAGATATTGGGGAGCTAAACTTCGGCTATGATGTAAAGAAAAATGGTTGAAATCTTAAATCAGTCAAGACAAAATGCCAATATTAATACTCAACACAACTGAGGTTAAATGTTTAATTTTAATTTAAAAAATGGGCTAAATCCGGTCAAATCAGGGGTTTAAAATATCTGAAAAGCTAAATTTTAATTATATTAACCAACAAAGGTTTTGTCAAGAATCTAAAACAGACAAAACCAGCAGAAACTAGTTCTTTAAAAAGTGAAATTAAAGCAAACATGGATTATTACCCAGATCCTGCTTTGGTGTAAAGAGAGACGGTGTAAGTAGACGGATGGCTGGAGTCTCTCACTATGAAGGCTCCTTCTTTATCCTGCAGGGGGCGACAAACACAAACAAACCAAAAATATCGGTCATTTTTCTTTAGCAGACAAACTGCTTGATATTTAACTGATGAGATTTAAATAAAAGCTTCTGCATCTGAATTAGTCATGTTATGAAGGTTTACATTTGATAAAATATTAAAAGTAAAGAAGCAGAAAATAAAAATAATAAACACTGACCTCCTTCCTCAGCAGCTCCTCAGCCATGTTCCTGTTTACGCCCTTACTGTACCATCTGAAACAAACATAAGACTTTTATCACTTCTAACACTTAATCTGAGAGATTACCTTATATTTAGTAATAAATGTCAACCTAAATGTGACTTCTATTTTTTAAAAATGCATGACAAATTCAAAAAGTTCTTGTGAAACAAACAACTTTCTTTATGCAGGTGAGGAATGTTTAGGTTAATATTTGTAGCCTTTACAGTAAAACTAGCACATTAAAAGCACAATAGTAATTTAGCTGCACTGTGACTTAAAAAAACACATATTATTTGTAAAGAATTCAAATGTTTGCAAATTCTTACAGCAAATCTAACTTGGACACCTGAAATATGTAGCAGAAATGCTACCTGGCGCCCTATTGGCTGGAGTTAGCAAACCAGCCAATCAAAGAGCTGCATTTATTTTTCCTTGGCGCTGACTGGCTGAATCCTCGAAGAGCGGAAATAAAATAAACTGTAAACGTTAGCTTCTGCGTTAGCTCTAACGGTTTCTACAGCCTGTATTAAAGCATATTAAGGTACATTTGGTGTTTTTAATATTAAAATAAGCCGTTATAAGCGTTTTTAGAGGATAATTAAAGTATTTGCAGGCAACTGTAGTTCCTACTTCTGTCTATAAAGGAGGAAAACGTTTTAGCATCCAGATTTAGCAACAAGAAGGAGGCATGAGAGAGTTGGCTTATCCTGGGCTAGCTCTGTATCTTCTGCTTTAGATTTAAACTACTGGACAAACTCAACACTTTACCTCTCTTTCTTCTTCTACTACTCTCCAATGTTGAATTATTTGCAAACAAAGTTAGTGCTAACCTTGTTTTTGTCAGTTAATTTTCTCCTCATGCTTTCATTGTGAAGGGACAGTTTTTAATCACATCTCCTGGTTTTATCCTGATCAGCTAATGAAATAAATTCTCACTGAAATTTTAAAGGAAAACGTTTAGGATGAGAGGGAAAATGCCCTCTCATAATGTTAAATAATACATTTTAACAAAAACCACATGTGCAAAACCTGCAGGCACTCCTGCTGTTACTTCTACATCAGCTGGAAATAAAAATAAGTTTCAGTTTAAGCAGAAACAGTCATTAAAGTGAACATTTACATTCATTACATTAAAAAAAATCTTCATACTCGATCTTTCTTTCACTAAATTTATGATCGGTGCGAGTTAGTAAAGTTAATGACTGATGAAAGCTGCAGACGTTTAGATTAAATCAGCAGCAGGTTTCAACTTTGAACCAGGAAATATTTAAGCCACTTACGCGAACTGCACCAGGTTCCCAGATGTTTTCCCCGTCACGTAGTTACTCGGGATGTAGCCTTCCTCCCTGAGAAACAAACCCAAAAATCTACTTTAAAAAGTACAAACAGTGGAAAAAAAACTAGTTTATTCTGCACAAAGTGTAATTCCTTACATATTTAACTGAAAAACTGATTAATTTAACCTCTTTCCCTACTGAGGCGTCCAGCTCTTTATATTGAGATTATACACTGCAAAAACATAAAACCTTGCCGAATATTTCTGGTCTGATTTCGAGTGCAAATATGAAATGAGACAAAACTTATAAGTAACTTTTCTGTAAGATAAAGGAGCTGCTTTCTATAGCTTGCTGATAAGTTTCCATTAAGTTAGTTTTGTCTTATTTCAAGTGTACTAAGATATTTGCACGGTAAACGAGAGAACTACTAGGTGAGAGTTTGTGTTTTTGCAGTGCACACGCCTGAAAAAACACCTGGTTCTCACTTCTTGTGAAAACCAGGTAGATTACATCATCTGCATCCTTAACAACAAAGTTCTAGTTTTACATTAACTAGCTTGAGCTGCAGGGTCAGCAGTAGAGCATGTATCCATTTGTGAAAAGCACTTAGCTATGAAAGGTGCTAAACAGAGTTTACTTTACCATCCCTACTGTAGCACAAATTATGAGCAAATTTACCCACAAAGAAGTGAGATGTTAAATTTGTCGAGGGATAAAGTGACAGGAACTACATTTGTGACATGAATAGAACGACTTCACTGAGATACTTTAATCATCAAACGTACAGTTTTTTCTTGATAGTTTATAAATATACCATTCTTGGTGTACATGGCCTAAATCACACAAAGATTTACAATAAAAATGTTTAGATTTTTTAAGTGGAAAAATATGACCCCTGATTGCTTTAACTTGATGATTTTGGCTCACAATGTAAAAATGGAGGACATTGAAAAGGTTCAGCCAAAATGGCGGACAGTTAAAGTGTTTTGCGTGACCTCTGCTCCGGTGTGCGACCTCTCACCCGTACTCGTTGCGCGCCCTGAACCAGTTGGCGTCACATTTCTCCAGGATGACGTACTCTCCGCCGCGGACCAGCTTCAGGTCGTGCGGCTCCATCCCTGGGAAGTCGTAGAGAGCCACCACCACCTCCTCGTCATCCTCGTCTTCGTCCTGCGGGACGGGAGGAGGACGGGGCCGGCGCTGCGGACAGCAGGACAGAGTGTTTGCGTCAGCGTCTCTGCTGCTCCTGATTCAGCGGCTGCTGCTGCTCGATTTGTTTACTCACCGTGTTTTCCTGTCCAGGAATCGGAGGCAGAGGTTTTCTGGAAACTAGAAGAAGAGGAACAGAAACCGTCAGTGAAGCAGAAAGTTTCAATGTTTCTGTTTCGTCTTTACTGGCTGGATCACTGTGACCTTTGACCTCAAGCTGAATGGTTCTCAAGAAGCTTTAAATGTTACACTTATATATATATATAACATTTTTCCTTCCACTCAACTTTTTATGAATATGCATAGAAGCACACCATAGCTGACTAAATTAGTTGACTGACTGATGACGCTGCGTCACACTGAACAGGAAGTGACATCATGAGGCAGGTCTTACTGTCTCCTAACAGGTTGTACTCCTCGCAGCCCGGCGCCTGTTTGTCAGCCTGGCGACAGCAGAGCCAGACGCCCTCCAGCCAGAACTGGGGGTGAAACTTCAGCAGCACGCCTGTGTTGTGTTGGATCTCTGGAAGCAGCAAAAGAACAAAAGATTAAATGAAGGAAAAACTAAGAATAATATAGGATTTTTCTGCTGAATTAATAACTTTTTGCCTTTATAAATCACTTTTTCTCATTGTGTGAACAAATTACGTAGGTATAAATTTAGTTTCATGCTTAGGGTTTGATGTCGAAACAGATAAATTGACCGACTGCAGCGGATCTTTGTTTGAAAATCAAACCAGATCAATCTACAGACAAAGGGTCCACTTCCTGCCGAGTTAGCGCTTTGAGATAAAAAGAAAGAAAACGCGACAGCACAGTGGAAACAGAGGGGGCTGCAGAGAAACCAGCCTCAGCGTGCGGTTCAAAGTGTGAAAACGTTTCAGGGCATCTGCTCTCAACGCCATGATCATCAGAATGTGATCAAACAAAAACATTATGGAGGTAAACAGAACCTCATCCGGTCCAGTAGCTGCAGAACAACGGCGTCCATTACTGCCCAACATCAGGGGAGATTAAAGGTGACCCATTATGCTTCCTAACAAAGCAAAAGTACTTGGTAAGATTTTGTACTTTTGCAGCAGATGCTGTACATACAACTTAGAATACCTCTACGGCCTAGACAAAACATGAAAATAATTTTTTCTGTAATAAATCATTCAGACCAAGCAGCTTTAAGGTGTCTTTTCACTTTAAATCCAAGTAAGCTGCTGCTGGCCACGCCCCCAAACTCCAAATTTACACTTTTACATTAAAAATGGCTGCAAACAGATGAACTGGTATGGTTTCTGGATGGTAAGTCAACAACAAAACACTTTGTCTTTTCCACCAGCCATTATACAGCTGACCAAGTGTGCTGGAGTTCCACGTCGGTTGCTAGGTTACAGGTGGAATTCTGCTGGGGTTGCTAGGTAACGGGTGGAATTCTGCTGGGGTTGCTAGGTAACGGGTGGAATTCTGCTGGGGTTGCTAGGTGACAAAATGGTTAATCTTCCAAACACCAAAAAAAAATAAAAAAGTAGAATAGAACAGAATATACTTTATTGATCCCGAAGGGGAAATTGATTATTAGTAGACAAGCTATACCTTCCAAGATGACCGATAAAAGATGTAAAATATATATATTTTAAATATATGCATACATAAATGTGATGTATTTTAAATATGACTGAATAAAAATAAATAAATAAAAAAGTAACATTAACTAAAAAACAACAAAAAACATCTAAGTGATTTTTTTAAGCGCCTGTGTTTTTAGAAGCAGATGAGACCAAAATGAAAGTACAAAAAGGGAACAAAAATATGAATTTAGCATAATAATCCCCCTTTAAACTTTTTTTTCTGATTTCCAACAGCAGCCTGGCAGACGACTTAATTGACCAAATATCTTAGATAAAATCTACAGGAAAAAAATCCATGAAAATAAAATGTTTTCACCAATGATTTGGAGTTAAGTTCTGAAGAAAAGTCCAGCGTTACAAAACTGCTGATGAGAGCCGATGGGAAACAAACTGATGGATGAAAGAGTGAATTTTCTTTTTCCAAACTTATCCAGACCTGGAAAACACTTGAATCAACTTCCAGGCTTTCCCAGGGAACCTTTACCCCCTGGCATCGTGCCTCTTGGTTATAAACCACTGGAGGCAGCCATCTTGGTTTTTCCCATGATTCATCTGGTAAACTTTCAGTTTGACTGGTTCTTGTTTTTATTGACCCACCGTGTTTGAGCATCAGGACCCACAGAGATCTGCTCTTCTGACTGGGAGCGAAAACATACAGCGTGTTGGTATCGTACACAACCTGGACACAAACACAGAAACATTCAGGAAGATTTGGTAAGATGTGGTGAATCTAAAGAAGTTTTGGTCCAAACCGTCAAGTTTTGAACAAAAAAGGACTAGAAATGTTCTTGTTCCTCCTCAGCAATAAACTCAACATGCAATACTTTAAACAAAGTAGTGAGACTTGATGGTGGAAAAAGATGTGTAAATTATTATATTATTTTTAAAAGGAATACTTCTAAAACCAGTTTAAACTTTAAAAGCCACTCTTTCTTTTATGGAATGGAGGAACTGGGGAAAAAATGCAGATTAAAGTGACAACAAGATAAAAATCCTGGAGAAAGCGACTTGGCAACAAACTGGGAAAATAAAAGTTAAAATGTAAAATAATAAATCCAGTTAACAGAGTTCGGCATGTTTACGGTCAGTTTGTCTGACCAGGAAGCTGTGAAGGACGGAAAAAGGACGTTTGTAGGTAAGAAATGTGTGGGAGTGACTGCAGTTCCTCTATTCAATGAGCCGAAACGCTGATCTGCAGGTTAAAGCAGCTGCGGCTCGGCTCTGCCAGCAGCCGGTTTTCTCTGATTGTTATCTTGGCGCAGATGCATGATGCCTTTTCATCTCCAAACGTGATGAGAACATCAGTTTTCATCGTGCTTTAGCAGAATGCTGCGTGTTTTTGATTTACCTGGAATGGGTATTTGTTCTGGCAGGGGATAATCCCACCTCCATTCTTCACGATTTCCACACATTTGATGCGACTCAGCTCCACCGAGCCCCTCTTGAACTTCTTCTGTTGGTGGAAAAAAATGCGTCAGAAATGCTTTTTCTGTTTCTAACATGTTACTGTCAGTCGACAGACAATTTGGTTTCTGAGCTGGAGTTTATCAGATGAGTAATAAGCAAACGCTTGTTTCATTTCTTATTTTTTTTTAACTTGATGATGATGATACCTAAAAAAAAACTAAAACTGTAATTTCCTCTAGAACAGTTTTTGATTTGTTTATCTGCCTCACTGTAGAGACATGTGGGCGTAAAACTGAATTTCTCTCAAACCAAACTGCATGCGAACTGCAACTGTACAGTAAAATAAAAATGTTTAGATGAAAATGGAATCCTTTTAAATCTACATGAATAATTTCTGCATAGTTTTATGTCAGATTTAGGCTTAAAATAATATTAAAGTTGAAGCTGAACCTTCAGAAACACATAAAGACAATGATAAAAATCAGTCTTCTATCGCCTTCCAGACCTCTCAGGTTCTGGTTCTGGCTCTGCATCCCCAGAACCAGAACCAAACACAGAGAAGCAGCATTCAACTTCTATGCACCACAAATCTGGAACAAACTTCCAGAAAACTGCAAAACAGCTGAAACCCTGAATGCCTTTAAATCTCAACTAAAAACTTCAAAATAACAACATTTTGAAGTGCATTTGCTTGATGACAAACACTGAAAAAAACACAAAATTGTACCAAGTAAATGTATCTGGTGTCTACTTTAAATATCTCACTACACTTAAAAGAAGACAAAACTAACTTAAAAGTAACTTTTCAGAAATAAATAGTACTTTCCATCAATATTAAGGAATTGTTTTACTTCAAAAGCTCCCATTTCTTTCTGAAAAATTACTTTTAAGTTAGTTTTGTATTCTTTTAAGTGTAGGAAGATATTTGCACTAGAAACTAGACCAAAATACTTGGTAAGACTGTGTGTTTTTGCAGTGTACAGGCTACATGTGGGCCTGTCATGATAAATTTTCCTGGACAATAAATTGATCCAAACTTCCTACTACAAACTTAACCTGTTGGTCTCAGGTTGTCATTCACAATGACAGGGGTGTCAAACTCCAGTCCTCAAGGGCCGCTGTCCTGCAGTGTTTAGATGTGCCACAGGTAAAAAACAGTGGAATGAAATGGCTTAATTACCTCCTCCCTGTGTAGATCGGTTCTCCTGAGCCTTGCTAATGACCTAATTATTCTTTTCAGGTGTGGTGCAGCAGAGGCACATCTAAAAGTTGCAGGACAGCAGCCCTTGAGGACTGGAGTTTGACACCCCTGTCACGAGAGGACCCAAATTTGGGTCCTCTGTCTGTCACTAGAGGACCCAAATTTGGGTCCTCTAGTGACAGACAGGTTAAACTTGTCATGTGATTAATTTATTTTGCACTGTGACAGGCCAGCTACATGTTCACCAGATTTCTATTCAAACTCAAATCCTGTGTTTGTGTGTAAAGCTGAGCTGCCACCATGTTGTTGTTTTTAAGTAAAGCAGGCAGGAACAGAGACCTCTGGTTTCCCTTCGTAGTACGTCAGCCTGGTCTTGGTGAGGACAAATACTCGTTCCTTGTAGTTCAGCGGCGACGTCCTTTTCTTCTGCTGCGAACGCTTGATCAGCGTCTCCTGCAGTAGCTGAACGGCACTCATTCTGGCTCCACCTGCAGCATCTGTCCGTCAGTCCGTGGCGCTATGCCGCGAAGGGACGGAGCTGGGCTGAGAGGAAATACGACAGCAGTGACTTTAAACGTCAAAAATGGCCTAAAGACGCATCATTTCTGGAAAAATATTAATCTTTTACATTCCAACCTCAACTTATAAAGTATTTCATTAGTATTTTATGACATAAATTAGAAACAATATGTATTTTCTGGGCACAGTGACATTTTGTAACATAATAAAGTAACTATGTCACCATCAGCTCTCATTAAAATGCTGTGTATGTCAAATATGATGCCTTGAAATTGGGCTTCTGTCTCTTTAAAGGGACAGTATCATGTAATGATGTTATTCTCGCATCATAAACAAACTGGAGTGATGACTTGATTCCCTCATGCATGTTTGAGAAATCCTTTAATCTCCATGGCAACCATTCAGCTGTGCAATATGCCTGGGTGGACCTAGCCCCGCCTTCAAGGTCGAAGCTCCTCCCCCACCCAGCTCCTTCAGACTAGCCAGTAGTAATTAGCAAACCTCTGCTGAGCTCAATAAAGGAGCTACTTCTCAGTGGTAAAAATGTTGTTAAAGGGTTAATAGAGAAGCGATGTTGTGACAACTTCCTGGGGGCGGAGCAGTAGCTTCTTAAAGAGACAGAGGCCCAATTTCAAAGACATTAAATTACGAATTTGAGTTTCTTATAAGTCATATTTGATATAGTTAGTATTTTTATTACAACTGAAGGTAACAGTTACTTGATTGTGCTATAAAATGGCTGGAAAATACAAAATACTGTCCCTTTAAGAAGATCCTGCTCTTTCCAACATCCTGCTTTAGTGAAGTTATCACAGTCTTAGCAGCGTTTCAGTTTGTTTTGGTCAAGTTTTACACAGCTGACTGGTTGCCAGGGAAATTAAAGTGTTTCTCAAACATTTTGAAGCAATCAAAGCAACACCCCAGGTATGTTTATGATATGAGAATAACATTATTACACAAAGTCAATTTTACAGAATCTCAGAAATAAATATAAACATGCTGTTTTTAAAAACTGGGAAGCAGCAAATATGAAGATCAGACGTGACCAAAGTTGAGTTTTTTTTGTCTTGGATGCAAAATGTTGAAATGAAGAAAATTTTAACGTTGGTCATCATCATCTCAAAAAACCTGTTGGTCCTGACAGAAAGAGCAGTTCAGCAGGAAAATGGCATTAAACCTACAGCAATAGATATTAAATTACTTAAATCAAAGCATATCCATGTGTTAGAATGGCCTAGTCAAAGTCCAGCTTGAAATCCAAGTGACAATCTAAAGGACGATCTAAAATAAAGTAACGTTTACATCGCATTTTGAAAACAAAAGTGGGGAGAAACATCTCTCAGTGAAACTGGTAAAAATATTCACTGAAAAAAAATTCTTGCAGCTTTTAAACATTTCAGCCTGGAAATTCATGTTAAACTTTCTCAGATTTAATTTTTTTATGCTTTGAAAACCACGTCCACTGTCGCCACATGCTTGCTCAGGAGGAAGAATAAACCGGCAAGCTAATGACTGAGTTTCCTTAGAAAGAAAACTTGTTAGCAGTTGGAGAATAAACAGATTTTACAGGATTAATTATCTGTTATTTGTATATAAACTGAACCCGTTTGTCAGGAACCGGCTGGGTTTACTGTGAATTGTGCTGTTAACATTCACTGAAACTTGTTCCTCCAAAATTAGTTCCACAAAACCGAAACAAATGGGTCGGTCATTTATAGAACCGGGTCAGCGTGACCAGAAAAACCTTTGAGAGGAAATCGTTCTGCACAGACAGAAAAGGAAGAAAACCTCCTGCAGAGAAAGAAACCGGCTCCTGAACCAGAACTCGAGAAGTTTTCCTAAAAAGTCGACCCGGTCCGTGTTCGACTTCAGCTTCTGGACCGGGTCTCACTTTCGTCTGTGTTCTGGACAAATGCAGCTAAACGGGACGTTAATCTGCTTTGATTTTTAACAATTTCCTCAAAAACGAAGTCACATTTTGGAGAATCCTTTCTAAAAAATGTGGAACAAAAATCAAAATATTACGAAGAAAGCAGATGTTGAGTATCGGGATAAATTTTACTGGATGATTAAAAGTCCCAGAAGTTTTTGCGATAAACAATAGTACTGTTAATTTGAGACCTTTTTCAAGTCACATAATGGTAATAGTAATACAATAATATGACAACGTATTAGGGAAATTCTGGATAGAGAAAAGGAGTAAATTTTCTCAAAAATAATTCGTTTTGCCAAAATAATTTTAGCAAAATTATTAGGAAATCTCTGGATTTGAAAAGTCAAAAATGTGCAAGAAAAAAAATCAGAAATTTTGAGATTAGTTCCAGAATGTTTTCTAGAAAAAGTTTTTTATAACTTGAAGTTTTGTCTCAAAAATTTCAGATTAATGTCAAAATTTCTGAATTTTTTCCAGAAGATTTTCAACTTTTCAAACTATGAAATTTCCTGATAAATTTCTGAGATTAGTCTCACAATTTCAGAATTTTTTCTAACAAATCTTTGACTTTTCAGACTCAATAATTTCCTTTATTTGTCTAGCAAATTTTTGGGATTAATCTCAAAATATTTGAGTTTTTTTGACAACAAATATTATTTCTATCTACAACGGCTCTCAATAAGCAATCAGATCCTCTCAAAGATCAATAACCTTTATATTCTAACAAACGTGTAACACTGGAACTAGAAGCCATTAAAATATCCAAAATAACATCAAAAAACAAATAATGGGGACAGAAGTCTGTAAACTAATTTATTCTTCAAAAAAAGGCAAATTGAGACCAAAGCACATTAACTAACATTGCTCTAAATGCACCAGAACTGGACAATTTGCCATTTTCCAGCTTTTGTACCTTAAAATCTGGTCGGTTTTCCATCTTGAACTTCCTCCATTTTGGTTTCAAAGCTACAAAATGTCCCTGAGAAAATAAATCTCACTTATATGGTCACCAATTTCTCATGAGTCACTAAGAGCTGGTGACATATTTCCTCCTTAAAGATGTGAAAATATTCAACCGCATCCAGGGGGTCAAAGGTCGCAAGTGCCAACTGAGGAGGTGGCGTTGACAGACCCAACCAGAGGAAAAGTTTTCAGTTTAGAGTCACTTTTCACACGTTTACTCCAGATCCAACAGAACCAGTTTCACTCCAACAGAACCAGTTTCACTCCAACAGAACCAGTTTCACTCCAACAGAACCAGCTTCACTCCAACAGAACCAGCTTCACTCCAACAGAACCAGCTTCACTCCAACAGAACCAGTTTCACTCGCAGAGTTTCCACTGGATATAATTTATGCAAACTGAAATAAGTCGACATTACTCATATATTTACTAGACGATAAATCGTCCCAGAAGTTATCGCGATAAACGATAACATTGTTGTTTTTAGACCATTTTCAAGTGATACAACAGAAATAATGGCATTATAATTTCAGAACATGTTCTTAAAGATCAATAAACTTTAAATTCTGATTAATTTTAAACACTGGAGCTGGAAGACATTTTAAATATTCAGAATAATAAAAAAAACCAACCAAAACTAACACTTGAATTATGAAGTATCTGAAAATAAAACTGTCCTTCAAAAAGAAGTTAGTTGGAACCAAAACACCAGACTGAAGACTTTTATCATCCAGTTCTTGGTAGAAAGTGAAAAAACAATAAATCATGCAAATGGAAATTATTGATTTTGTTTTCATTTATCATGTGATTAATTGATTTATTGTATCAGGCCTGATGGTGACATTGTAATCTGTGTTTCATCTGCATAGTTTTGACAGATAATCTTATTTCCTGTAATAACCTGAGCGAGTCGGAGCATGAAGATACACTGCAAAAACACAAAATCTCACCAAGTAATTTTGGGTCTAGCTTGAGTATCTGATAACACTGGAAATAAGACTAAACAAACTTATAAGTAACTTTTGGCAAGACGTAGGAGCTGATTTTAAGTTAAAAAAAATCCTTAATATTGATGAAAACTGTTTGTTCCATTGGAAGATAAATTCTCTTACAACAAGAAAAAATGTTTTGTTACAACTTAAATAATCTGCCAACAGAACCTGAATTTCTTTCCCAATTTTAAAGAATTATTAACTTAGAATAAGCTCTACATCTTGCTGAAATTTATTTGTAAGTTAGTTTAGCCTTATTTTAAGTGTAATCAGATATTCAAACTAGAAAATTCTTGGTAAGATCTTGTGTTTTTGCAGTGTACCGAGTAAAAGGGGTCCTGGTATTGGGCCTTGCGGTACTCCGTATGTAATGAGACGTTAACTGGAACAAATAAATCCCTTTTCCTCATTCTAAGAAATTATTAACTTAATCTCTTAAATCTCGGTGAGAAGTTACGGGAAAGTTAGTCACTTCACAAAAAAAAGACAAAACGAGAAACTAGATAAATATGGGAAAGAATGGAACATGAAACATATGTAATCTAAATAATTAGAATAATAACGCATATTGAATGTAAAACTTTGTATTTGCACATTGTGGATTTCATTGTTTGCAGATGATATTGCGATATATTAGAGAGTGCAGAGAAGAAACTCCCAACATAACCACACATCTATAATCTAAATCTGAATTATCATGACATTTTACCCCAACAGAAGAAAGAACGAAACGAATCGACCTTTTCGCCTCCAACTCAACGCGATTCCAACATCCATCAGCGCCGCTGATAAGAGAGAAACTCAATTATTACTTCCTACCTCTGAGAAAAATGTCATTTCTAGGTTTATCAACATGACCATCAGTTTTTTATTCAGTGGGATAAAAGAAACGCACTTCCTCAACAATAAGGACAGATAAGCAGCAACCTCTGCAGCCACCAATCACATTTAAGACTTAAAATTAACCAAGCAGAAGATGTTACTTTTACAGAATAGATGTTTACCGAGAGGAACTGAAAGAGAATGGGGTTAAAGCTGCGTTACCATAACAACAACAAATCCGCTCAGAACCGCAGCTCGGGCCGGCAGAGACCCGGTAGCAGCTCAGAACAGGCTGGAGGAAAAGGAAATGCATTTTTTAAGTCTCCAACAGGAAGAGCCAGTTTTATACTGATAATATTCAACTCCAGAAACACTTTGAAGGGTTTTTCCTTTAATTCACCAGAAATTAGTCTGGATACTCGTCTCTTTTTAAAAAACAAACAGGAAAGCTTTGAAAACTGTTTGGAGCAAACTGTGAATCTTTTTAGGTTGATGCCAAGTTATGAAACGGAAATTACTGCTGCGTAACAAAATGTATTCATGACTAACTGGAGTTAGTTTCAAGAATTTCTCCAGAACCTATGACTGAAACCGATGCGTCAACATCCCAAATAGACTTTAACTCCCATTTCTGGAACCAATTTTACCTTTTTAATGCAATTTGGCTAAAATGTGCAAAACTTCTGCAGAAAAGAGCTGAAATCCTAACATTTGCATATAATTATTATTCATAGTAAACAACGTGGCTACGCAGTTTTTAAATCAGGATTTCATTCATGAAGGGAGAATAAAACCGTCGCTCTACATGAAAACCTAATTGCCCTCTGAACTGGAAAACCGGTTGTGCAACGATTGGCAGCAACGGTTGCCATAAAGTTATTTCAGGCACTCAAGAGTTCAAAGTTGTTAAAAATGTTTTGAAATTCAATTTAAAACACTTTATTTATCTAAAAGGTCATTAAATGTTGTTATAGCTCATATAATCTGAGTTTCTTCAAACAGTTGTTGTGGACGGCTAAGAACTTACAACAAGAAAAAAAAAATACTGACTGCTCCAGTAGCAGTCAGTATCGCAGCGATTTTGAAGAAGCCTCTGACTGAAGACAGTCTAATGACTTCCTACCAGCTCAGTGTTCAGGCAGTAGACATGATATTCCAAATAAAACAGAAAAAGTCCAGGATGACATCATCAGCTGTTAGCTAGCTCTGCTAATCCTCCTCCTTTGCTTTTGCCGCTCCTCTCTAAATGTTTCTGCTTCCCTCTCTGCATCCATGAAGCTCCTTTCATCGCCCCCAGGTCATAGTTCAGATATTATTTGAGATGCTAATGAGCTGCTCCCAGTTGTAAAAACAACACCTTGTTGCCACGGTGACGCATAACAGCCCGAAAGTAAAAAAAAGAAAAGTGAGAGCAAAGATCGTTCGGGCTGCACAGCGTCCAGAACCGGAGGGAGAAATCGTCACGGAGATCCGAGCGACCATCCAGAGGCTTTCTGGACGTTTGAGTATTTCTGAACTTCAGAGGCCGTCTTACCTCAACGCGCAACGTTAGTTTGGAAACATTTAGTCACTTAACTGCTGAATTCATCGTTGGAAAACTGACCTTTGCACTTAATCAGGCTTTTTTTGTTTAGTTTTAGATATGATTGATGATTTTAAACTTTTAATATGACAAAAATCTGGAAAAATGGAACAATTATCTGAGGCATGTGTCAAACTGAAGGCGCGGGGGCCAAATATGGCCCGCCAAAGCGACTTATGTGACCCTCTTGATTCTCAATCAAATCAAAGCAGTTTTTATCTTTATAATACCAAATTAAGCAAATGTGAAGATATATTAAATATTAAAAAATAGTTATTGCAGCGATTTATTAAAATTTTAACAGATTTTTAATTGGTTTTATCAAAATATTCTGGCACAAAATGCATTTGACACCCCTAATTTTACAGATTAAATATTTAAAATACCCAAATACAAGCAAACATGGGAGCAAAGATGAGGTAAAATATGTCATAATTAATCTGTTAATTGATGTAATGACCATCTGCGGCGGCAGCCATCTTGGACTGGGCATGAACTTGACAAACAGTCACAGGAACCTCAGAATAAATGAAGCGTTCACCTGAAACCAGCAGATCCGCTCAAACATCACGTTCTCCTCTGACGTCATCAGCATATACACCTTTGTCGTTGTTTTTGTTTACACATTAAAACAAATATATATATATATTTCTGTCATTTAATGCGGAGGAAATCCAGAGTTTCTCAGCCAGCTGTGTTTGTGTTAGCAGCATTTTTAAAGTTCATTATTTTTGTAGAGATTCATAATTGCTCAAATCTGCGTCGTCGAAACAAGTTTTTGATTAAAAACATTTAAATAAACCGTCTATGGAAGCCACGGTGCACAAGTTTGACTAAAACGTGTTTCCGACAGCACTTGAACGCAACACCGGCGTGTTCGCACCTGTCCGCAGGTGTTTTGAGTTTACATTCAGACCCGTTTGCAAGCAGAAACAGGAAAACAACACAGCAAAGCTCGTTCTCCACACCCTGGATCGATGCCTCTCTGATTGATTATGTCTCTTTCATTGATGTCAGATCAGACTGAGTGATTTTTAAAGTTCCGATTCTGATTTGTTTGGGTTTTCCACGCCGCCAGAGTGCGTTCAGAACCGAACCGGCCGGGTTTTCTCGGGCTGTGAAGCGGTAAAATGATCCGTCTTACCTTGACGCGCCATGCTCCGGGTCGCAGCCGAACCTCTGGCCCCTCACGACGCCGATGTGAAGCAGCAGGATTGAGGAAATGAAGAGGGAGGGAAGGGGGCGGACACGCAACGCAACGCACTAAAAAAAAGAAAGAAAAACTTCCTCCTGTACACATGCACCACCGCAAAGTCACATAGACCGAGAGGAAAGAGGTCACGGTGTGAAACTGGGACGATGGATGGAAAATATGTGAAATTTACACAAAATGGAGATTCGCTGCGAGAAAGATGTTCGTTATAAATTTACCAGGAAGTCAAAGTTTGATAGAGGATTTTAATTATCTATTTATTTATTATATAATTAATTTATTTTCATATTATTTCAACATTATTTTCAACATTTTATTCTTGTAATATTTTGCATTTATTCTTAAAGTATGATGACTTTTCTCGTATTATTTCAAGTTTTTTCTCAAAAAATGTGAGTGTTCTGGTGATATTATAACGTTATTCTCATAAAATGATGGCTTTATTTATCCAAAGATATTTAAGGAACTGAGAGTTTTATCGACCACCTAGTTGAGTTCATATAAACCAACTATGTTTAAACATCAACATACTAGTGGTAATAAGTAGCCTAAAGATCAGCTTTGTGGCCAAATATCTCCAACCCCAACATCTGGCCTTGCAGACCAACAGGAAACCTTCACTCTCACCATCCTGCAGAGGTTTCACTTCTGTTCCTGGAGGTTCAGCTAACAAGAACTTCCCTGTCTGACTTCACTGGGCCATCAGATTCAAGATTTACCAACCAAACCAAAAGCTACCATGAATATTAGCTGTTATTTTAAAGAGACAGCTCAGTTTTTGTTTATTTTGTTTGTTTTTAAGTGCGACATTCAATCTCCTATCTGTGGAAGGAAGAACCTAGCATGATTAGCATGATTAGCATGTTTGAGAACCAGGAGAATCAAGCTAACAGTAAACAGAGTCCAATTAGCAGAAAGTCAAGATATCAACTATTCAAGCTTTCATCTTATCAAGTCAAGCTAATTAGTCAAGCTAACAGCTAATTAAAGTCAAGCTAACAGATTACATAAACTCATAACAATTGCTAATAAACATCTAAACACAGGCAAGCTAACAGCTATTCAAGCTAACCTTGGCAGATTATTTTAGCAAGGTGATGTATTCAAGCTAACAGATGAGCGAGTGAAGCTAACAGCTAATCTGGTCAAACTAGCAGCTTTTTAGAGTAACGCTAATAGCTAACGGTGTCTAATAAACTGCTATTCTGTAACAAGCTAAGCGCTAATAGAGTTAGCGACATAGCCTAAAGCTAATGGTCTGACATAAAACAAGCTAACAAAACAGCAAAAGTATAAACTGGTAAAAGTCAAGATGCTAACAGTCAGTGACTTATTTCTAATTTGATTTAGTATCAATTCATTCGATTATATCGTTTTGATTAATCCATTCACACTTTCATTTCTGCTCTTGCAGCTTTGATTTGACCAAACGGTCGTGGCGTCGTTCTTTTTCAGGGCTTTGAAGCAGAAAACATTTTTAGAGTCGGTAACATAAAGTGAAAGAGTCAGATTGAAGGGCTGACTGTTTTCAGAGCTGCATGACGATTACTGTATGTGTGCCCTTCTTCTTCCTGGATTTATTCTCAGACGGATGCTTTGCGGTTTCGTTCACGTCATTGTTTCACTTCCTCTGCTCTGCTCTCTTTGTCTTTCTATGTCTCTATAAACTCTGGCGAATGAAGCACAATTTAAAGAAAACGTTTTACTCTTTCAGCAGCAATCCGAACATCAACACCAGCAATTAAAAATCCTTTTTCTGAGTTTATTGTTGGCTCTTTCTGCTGCTCTTCTTCACCTACCTCACTTCCTCCACCCACCTGCCCCGTTTCTCGCCTCTGACTCCACGCCTCGGCCGCTTCCTACCTGCAGCATCACAGCAGCTGCGTCCATGCTGAGAAACTGAAGCCGACTTCGAGCTCCAGAACCAAAACTGGAGCAAAACCAGGTGGAGGAAGAGGAGGGAAGAAGAGAGCGAAGACCAAACACCAACATGATTCACTCGAGTAAGTAGACACTCTAAAATCTGAACATTTACGCCTTAAACTTAAAGAGAAGAAGAAGAGCAAATGAAGGGGGTTAGAAGAAGCAGATGATTGGTGTTTATGTACAGGAGACGCTGCCACGGATTCATTAAACACTCAAACATTTACAATATTCTGCTTTTAAAACTGCACAATCAGCCAAACCCGAAGAGAGACGGTTAGTCTTTGTTTCTCCATGACTAATCAAAACAAAGCGCCTCACTTTACAGCGCGTTGCTGCACCTGTGCAGATGGAAACGCAGAGAAGCTCCTCAGTTAGCAGCTCTGGCCTGCAGAGGTTTCAGTTCTCACTGCTGGCAGCTTTTAGAGAAGCAGTTTCACATCTGGTCTGGGATTTAATTAGAAATTAAGAAGAAAACCAAAGTAAACAGCCAAGGTGACTTCAGTTATCTAGAAATAAAACCCCAAACAGCTGATTAATCATCAGAACTGGCAGGAAATCTGGAATTACTCACAGTTTTACATTTTATATACAAATGTTTCAAAGCAGAACTTTTCTCTTTGCTTGTTTCTGGTATGGACATAAATCTGACGCGCAAGAAACATCCATAAACAACAAGCAGAGACAACTAGTAGCACAACATGTACATTTTGGTCACAAAGCTCAGTTTTCCTTTTGTTGAGGCTCAAACATGAGCTGCTGCACCTTTAAATGTCCTGACAACAGGATTTACGTTTTCTTCATCGTTCTGCCTCTTTCTGTTTAAATCCTCGCAGGTTTTTTATTAAAATAACTATAAAAAGTGTCCTATGGAGCCCCACCACCAACAGAAACCAGAAAAAGTAAATATTTTCCTCCTTAGCAGCCAGACTTTAGTTCTCAAGACGTTTCAGGGTTTTTCTTTTGGCATTAGCTGCTTTTTCAGCTATTTAAAAGAAAAACAAACCAGTTAAACCTGATGAATTCAGAGTTTTGTAGCGAGCAGGCAGTGGGTCATGACCTGGAATCAAACCAGAGATAACGTCTTTGCTTTGCCATCTCAGCCACTCACTGCCCCAGCTTGTGCCTTTCAAAGACATTCAGCACTAATTTGGATAAAAGACGAGGAGAAAACGGGTGAAATGGGAGCAAAACTTCAAACAGAAACTCAGAAATCCAGAAGAACCACTGATTAGAAAATAAATCAGCTTTACTGTCCCAAAATGGGGAAATCCAGCAGCAGCAGAGTGACAGAAAATCAAGACTTTCAGGTTCAGACAAAGAGAAAAGTATAAAAAATAAACAAAAACAAAATTAACAGTAACATGCTGTACAGTAAGTGTAAAATTACAACGTAAATACGGTGCTGTTACCAAAAACAGCGCACTCTGATCCAAGGAACGTACAACGGATCAGGATGATTTAAGAAAATCCCAAATATTCATGTTCATTTTTACAAGTGAAAAAACAACAGAGATGTGCAAAAACCAGCAGGGATGAAAACATTTGTTACGTTTGTTTTAAGGCATGATGGTTACAGACAGAGATGGGAAGAGCAACCAGAAATTATCCTCAAGTGAGAGTAAAAAATGTTTGATTAAAAATAAACTGAAGTACCGACTAACTGGTCAAATTACCAATTATTTAATGTTTACAAACTACATCATCAGACAGACTGAACTACAGAGTTATGTGGAAATTTTGGTATTTTAAACATCAAAATGAAAATAGTAATAAAATCAGGAAAAATAAATTTTCAATAAAAATAAAAAACTTATGAAACTTTAACAAAAACTGCAGGTGTGTGTTTCTGTGTCTGGTGAATTTTTGGTAAAAACATGTTGGTTTTTCATTCATTGGGTAGAAAATACAGAAATGTTACTCAAATAAGAGCAGAAATACTTCATAATAAAATGACTCAAGTAAAAGTAGATAGTAAAGTGTAGTAAAAATAATCCTAAAAGCACATATTTTTTCCTAAAACATTAGTTACCATCTATCGTCTTCTGGGAGGAAGGATCTCTGTTAACGCTCCTTTGTGCACCAAAGATGCAGCTTCATGTTTGAGGAAGGAGAAATTATCTGTCAGTGATTTTATTTTAAACTTCTGTCCTTAAATCCACTTTGAAAGATCTGAAGAAAGTCTGGCTGCTTGGAAGGAAAACACATAAAAGTTAGAGCTTAGTAACAGATTTTCTACTAATTTACATTTCAAAAGTGTCTCACAGCAAAACAACGTCCAACTAACTGTCAGGCATAAAACATCAATGTCAGTTTATTTAAAAAGCACTTTAAAAACAGCTACTAACTTCATCAAGGTGCTGCACAGTTTTCTTAAACCCACAGATGAAAACACAGGAACAGAGAAAGAAGAAACTACATTTCATAGAAATGTGTCCAAGAGGAAGCAGCAACATAAACAGAACAGGGCCTAAGATTGAACCTTGAGGGACTCCATAGCTTAGTATTACTGCCACAGAAGAGAAGTGATAGAGAGGAAATGAAAAACTTCTGTCATACTAACATGATGAGAGCCAAACTACCAACATGGTGCTAAAATCAAAATGAAAGATGTCATGGTCAGTAGTATCGAACGCTGCAATTAAATATGACAATAAGACAGAAATGTTCCCTCAATCAGCTGTTAGGAGATCGTTAAACACTTACAAACGTGTTTCTGTGCTGTACTCATGTTTAAAACGGGACGGTAATTTCTCGTAGTTGCTGTCGTAGTTTGTTAAAAAAGATTGAAATAGAATAAAAACTATTTTCACCAAGACTTTAGATAAAGATGGTAGTTTAGAAATCGTCTGTATGAGCGAGTTTGTTGATGGACCAAAACGCATGGATCATGTTAAACGTTTAATAAAAAATGACTGGAAACCACAGGGAGCCAGAGCAGAACAAAAACAGGAACCCAGTAACAACAGGGAGGTGAGAGGATCCACCAGGACCAACTAGAATGAGTTGGAGGTTGATTACTGAGCAAGAAACAGAGGGACGATTACGAATGGACGGAGAGAGAGAGAGGGGGAGAGAGAGAGACAGAGAGAGAGAGAGAGGGAAAGAGACACAGAGAGAGGGAGAGAGGGAGAGGGAGAGAGAGACAAAGAGAGAAAGAGAGAAAGAGAGACACAGAGAGAGAGACAAAGAGAGAGAGAGAGAAAGAGAGACACAGAGAGAGAGAGCGAGAGAGAGGGAGAGAGAGGGAGAGAGGAAGAGAGAGAAAGAGAGAGGGAGAGAGACACAGAGAGAGGGAGAGAGGGAGACAAAGAGAAAGAGAGAGAAAGAGAGAGAGAAAGAGAGAGGGAGAGAGAGACAGAGAGAGAGGGAGAGAGAGACAAAGAGAGAGAGACAGAGAGAGAGGGAGAGAGACAGAGAGAGAGGGAGAGAGACAAAGAGAGAGAGAGACAGAGAGAGAGGGAGAGAGAGACAAAGAGAGAGAGAGACAGAGAGAGAGAGTGGCACAGGGGGCTAGGGAGAGAAACAACAGACTAAGAAATAATCCATCCATCCAAAATAAACAAAATAAAACAGAACTAAATGATCCAAAACAGCCCCAGATCCAAACAGAAATCCGTCTAAATTCATCCATGATACCATCAATTATTGTTTCTTTATTAAGTGGGTTTATCACCACGGCTGGTTTGAAGGCGGCCGGGACAAACCCAGTCCAAACGCATACGACTCAATGCTACAATACAAAGGTCATCTTTAAATAAGTGAGCAGGGAGACGGACGTTTCAAACAAACGGGACGAGGGAACTGGGTCGAACTGCCAACACAGACAGAACCACAGTCAGTGAAAAATGTAAATATATGTTACAAAGATCCACAGAAACTGTGAAAACATGGGAATCCAGACGGTTAATAACTTTACGATTTTAAAAAGTGACCGGTTGATTCTGATTCTGGTTGATGAAGCTCACTGAGAAAATGTGACAGTTTGGATGTAATTATTTAGAAAAACTGGTTGTTTCTGTACAAATGTCCTTTACAAAGTGTCCCTGTTGTCACGTTATGACCACGAACTTAAACGTTTTACTGAGAAGAGCTCAAACCAAACGCTGTGGTTCTCATGCATCTGGTAAACCTCAGATTCAAAGAGCCAGAATTGTTAAAGCCATTTCTAAAACAAAGTTTAGTGAGGCGGAGACGTTGTTTCCATGCTGAGCTGAGCGCTGAGAAACGATTTCCCAACATTACCAACACCTGACACGTTACTGGGACTAATTATGGTACTTTTATTCATCTAGTTATAGCATTTTGTTCTAATTTACAGGTAAATTAATTCTGTTACATGGTTTTAAAATCTGAACAAAATCTGTTTTGTAAATTTCAGTCGATGCTTTGTGGAATATTTTTCCTGCGCAGGTTTTTCTGCACATTTACAGTCAAATTCATTAAATTACAACATATAATGAGTCTCATTTGTCTGAGTATAAGTGCCATTTGGAAATAAAAACCTGAACATATTTTCATTAAAATCACATTTCTGCCCTAAAAAATAGTTTTTTTAATTGATTAAGTGTAATAATCAAATTTTAAATGTTTTTTTTTCTTTAGCTGTAAGTGGAAAATAGTCATAATTAACAGAAATGAAGACTTTCAAACATCCATTTGTATGCAATTAATCTTAATTTTAATTAATGTTTCATTATTGATTCAGTTTCTTTGACTAGGCCATTCTGACACATTAATAGGCTTTGATTAGAAACCTTGTTCGATAGAGGGACGAGTTACCAACCGAAACTTATTTAGAAAAGACAATGTCATCAGCATACAGATGTATTTTAGCTCTCATCCATCCATCCATCCATCCATCCATCCATCCATCCATCCATCCATCCATCCATCCATCCATTGTCATTTTTGAGTTTTCCATGTTATAAAATTATTTCTTTATCAAAAACAAACATGGACTGATGCCTTGAGTCGTTTTGCATAGAGTCTGAGAAATCCTTTAATCTCCATGGCAACCATTCAGCTGTGCTAAATGCTTGGGTGGACTTAGCCCCGCCTTCGAGTCACAGCTCCTCCCCCACTCAGCTCCTTCAGACTAGCCAGCAGCAATTAGCAAACACATGGGGAACATCTACTGACCTCATTAGAGGAGTTTCTTCTCTGGTGAAAATGTTGGTAAAGGGTTAATAGAGGAGCCATGTTGTTATGACTTCCTGGAGGCAGAGCTTCAGAAAGAGCAGGAGCTTCTTAAAGAGACAGAGGCCCAATTTCCAGATGTTAATTTATAAAGTAAAGATATATTTGATATATGCAGCATTTTTATAACAACTGGAGGCAACATAGCTACTTGAATATGTTATAAAATACACAATACTGCCCCTCTAAGTGATTTCTGCAGGCGGTTCGTTGCACATTAAACTTTCCAGGATCGCAACTTGTTAAATCCTTGTTTCCTTTTCCTGCTTTCTCCTGGTCTGTCACACACCGTCCCCATAAAATACATTGAATTTTGTTTCTCTAGTGAGACAAAATGTGAAAAAGTTTACATGACCCATCTCTTCTGGGTAGCAAATCTTAAATAACTGATTAAGAAATATTTACTTTTAGATAAATAAAGCACATTTCTTTGCAAAAGAAGACAGTTAAAGCATTTAAATAGATTGTTTTGCAATTTATTAGATTAACTATTCATTGTGTTTTGACAAGTTTGGTAACACATATAGCAGATTAGACGTATTACTGAGAAAAAGAGTTCATCACTCGCTGGCATGTTTATTTTATCACCTTTCTTTCCCCTGAAGCTCTGCTTTCATTTTGTACCTTCAGAATCGCATGATACTCGTCGCTCTGCGTATGAGTGTTTTTTTTTTTTTTTATTCACACAGGAAGTAATGTAGCCACCTCTCCCTGCAGTCTCTGACAAACAATGACCCGGCTACACGCACCATCTTGTTCACTCGCCCACAGAAACACACAAACGGACTCGCTCAAAGCAAAGAGAGTGTTAATTCTGCAGAAAAGGAAACTATGCTTCCTGACAAAGACCTCCCACTTCAAACCACAGAGACACAAAGACAGAAAAAATTAACTAAAACAGCTGGTGGGACAATTTGCAAAGATGCGTTTCCTTGTTAGATTTTATCTTTTTACTTGTTAAAATTTCACTCTTAGAGGGCAAATGTGAACTTTAGTGGCTTAAACTTAGCCAACGTCAAACAGAAAATATACGTAACGTATGTTCAAAGCTGCGTCAGCAACAGTTTTCTCTCTAAAATGGTAAAATAAGGATTAGTATTATGTAATAATACATTTAATGTGTAAATTTTATGCAACTCAGAGAGATATCAACACCGGAGCTACTCTGGTTTGAACAAAGACACTTTATAAATGTTAGTAATAATTATTTGTTTAGATTTAAGTATGTAGTTAATTAAAGGGGCGGTGTTGAGTATTTTCCAGGGACATAGTGCCATTTTGTAGCACAATCAATTAACTAAGTTATCTTCAGTTGTTATGAAAATGGTGTTTGTATCAAAATAAGAGAAATTTGACTGTAATTGAATGACTTGAAGTTGGGCTTCTGTCTCTTTAAGAAGCTTCTGCTCTTTCTGAAGCTCCGCCTCCAGGAAGTCATAACAACATGGCTCCTCTATTAACCCTTTAACAACATTTTCACCAACATTTCACTGAGATGTAGCTCCTATAATGAGATCAGTGGTTCCATCAGGTGTTTGCTAATTGCTGCTGCCGCTAGTCTGGAGGAGTTTTGTTGGGAATCTTGGTTGGAGCTTTGGGTAAAACAAAGTTCCAGCCACCAGTTCACTTTGTATGAACAGGAGTTTAGGCCCTGAATGATGCAGGGAGATTTTAGGATTTCTTATATATGCAATCAATTCAAAACTCTGGGTTAGTTTTTGATGAGAAAATCGCATATAAAGCTAGGAAAGTTCATTTGGTTTGGTTTAAACTTTAACAAACAGAAATTTCAACTAACTTATCTTCTCCTTTTGTATCTACAGGTGTTCCTCAGGGATATGTTTAAGTCCCTGTTTTATATATTTTCATAAATGAGTTATAGTGAGACATATGAAGCAGGAAAGAAACTAACTTCAGCTAAAATACGTCTGTATGCTGATGACATTGTCATTTCTGTAACTTTTTTAATCTAGTCATTAAAGGTGTTAAAAAAAGCTTTTAACATTTGCTGCTCTGCCTTTATGTGAACAGAAAAAGTATGTTTATATAAATCAGTGTCTCCAGGACTTTTAGATTGTTTTTGTGCTTTTTATTCCAATGACGAACACACATTTTGTGGTATTACTTTAGAAATATTTACAAGGAATTTTGTGATATTTTTCCATCATCAAACCAATATTAGACACAAACATTTCCATTCTTTAACAAACTAAAATAGCTTGATTTTTGTTACTCGTCACATCAGTCATATTTAAATTAACATAAAATCAGGCTGAGGCTGTAGATGGGAGTTAGCATTTCGCTAAAACCCAATGCTTTTCACCATTTTGTGGAAAATTTACAATAAACTTGAGAAAAAATTCAAGTATCTGTTGATTTTGGGTGAATTTCCATGATGGTGGAATTGGAAAAAACTGGAGGAACGTTTTGTTTACATCCATATAACTATCCAACCATCTAGACTTAACCCAATCTACCATAAAAATGTATAAACTTTAACTTGGAAATGCTAAAAGATTAGCCATAACTTATCCTCTTTCTGTCTGTTTCAGATCAATCCACCCACTCTATATTCTGCTGCTGCTGTGCTGTTCAAAGCAGGTAAAGATAAGAATTGTGTTTCGAAATGTTAAGGTTGAAAAGTCTTCAGTTACGTTTTCAGTGGTGATTTGGGCTTGTTTTAAGACACTGAGTCAACCCTGCTCACTGTCTCTTAAAAATATTATAAATACAGCAGAGGATCCACAGCAAAAGGTCTGAAAAAGACCAGAATCACGGTGTTACTTTGGCCCAGTCAAAGTCCAGCCCTCAACTTGATTGAAATGCTGTGGTTGTACTTAAGAGTTGAGCAGAAACATGCCGTTGTACAACGTTATAAACAATACAGGGGTCAAGTTCCTCCACAGCAACGTAAAGAGAAAAAACTGCTGGGAGAAATTGGAGGTATTGAAATGAGGATATTTATATCTTCCCAGTTCGTATAGTTTTGCATATTTCTAAAGATATAGACGAAACGTCCATCCTGCAGAAGCTCACAGATCGAGGCCACGTTTTAGAGTTTTTAGCTTGTGGTTACCCTCGGAGCCATGTGGTGAGCGAACCTTGTCCAACGATTGAACAGCTTGCAAAGATGCATGCACCAAAATAACATTAAAGAAAAGCGGTTGAATCATGAAACTCTGTTTTTGGTCTATAATTTTAACATGAAAATGTTCTTTCATCGCATATAACTTTTCAGTTCATCTCATTTGTAAGTTTCCTCTAAAAATAAAAAAAAATACAAAAGAAAAGGTTTACAAATCTGCTTATTTCAGCAGTTTGACTGAACAATTTGTAATAATAAAGCAAATCTTTGGGTTTGTTTTCTTAAAATGAATGGGGGGCGAAATTCAATATTTGATCCCACCTCCTATTAGCCTTTGTTGTGCCACTTGCTTGCAGCAGATGTTTAGTATGTGTTAATCTATACATATAATACATAATCACACAATTTCTGTCAGTAGGTGAAAGCTTTGGGGCAGCCCCAAAAATGGGTGGAGTCAAATAACTGACTCCGCCCATTTTTGGGGTTGCAACAATTATTCACAAATGTGCTGCTCCAAATATGAGCAGCAGCAAATGTGGTCTGAGTTAACTTTTGGGGCAGCCCCAAATACGGTCGGAGTTCAACAAGTGGCTCCGCCCATAGTTCAGGGCAGCCCCAGAAATTAATACTTAAATCGGTTCTACTTATTTTTACATAATTTTTTTTATGTTTTGCTCATTTTACCTTAAAAATAAGTATGTGCACCCAAATAAATCAAATTTGTTGATTTGCCAGTGCCAAAAAAAGTTAAATCAATAGATCTCAGTGGTGTAAAGATTCATTTTGATACATTTTCACATTGAATAGAAAAAAACCCAAATGTAAAGACGATTTGTCTGATTTCAGGGAGATCAGCACACGCATGGAGCTGGAGGGCAGAACGTCTCTCTGCTTCCCAACCAGACGATACCCCGGAAACGCTCGGCGGGTAAGAAACGGCACATTTCTCCGTATCCGTGTGTTACTGAGGTCTAGGTTTAGACTTTTGCTATGTTTTGGTCAGGTGGACAGGTCCAGGAAAAAGCTCCCTCTGCCCCCTCCGGAGAACGGAGAAGGTGAAGGTTTGGTGAGCGTCGTTGCCATGTACGACTTCACGGCCAAGGAGGACTCGGACCTCACCATTAAACAGGTAACAATTTCACGCTAGTTCACTGAAACTGTGCTGAATGAAATTATTATCACTGTGGTAAAGTATTTTCTTTTATGAATTAAATTATTATCACTGTTGTAAAGTATTTTTTGATGAACTATGAAGAAAAAATACATTTAACTGTATATTACTATCTAAAAATTTTCAGTTACACTGTATTCCCATTCATTTTGGTCCTTTGCTCCATTTAAATTCATAAAATTGGACATTATGACCTCTGGTCAAACCAAAATAACTGATTTTATAGATTAGTTGCTGAGGAATGACCAGATATTTACTAGTAGATCAGATTTATTTACTGACATCAAAAAGCAAATAAATAAATGTGTGTAATACTAGTGCTTTGTGTCTCCAGGGAGAGGAATACGTCATCCTCCACAAGCAGGACCAGCTGTGGTGGAGAGCGGAGGACAGACACGGGTACGGCAGACCAAGTCCAGACCAAGTTCAGAACCATTCACTGAAACTGTGATTTCATCTTACAAATTAATCAATCAGCAGTTTCTCAAAGCTTTAAAACATGTTTAAAACTTAAATTATTGAGGCAGTCGGTTGTAAATCCTCTAACAACTCGGTTCTGACGTGTCGTTGTTTTGCTCAGGAATAAAGGCTTCATCCCCAGTAATTACGTAACAGAGAAGAACAGAATCGAGGCAAACTCGTAAGTTTTAAACTTCTTATTTCACTCGGCTGGAGAGCGCAGTTACAAAATATTTAATGTTTATTTAAAATGTCCGTCATGAAGGTGGTACTGCAAGAACATCACCAGAACAGAAGCTGAGCAGCTGCTGAAACAGCAGGTATTATTTATTTATGATTATTTAATTTCGCTTTGGGATCAATAAAGTATTTTTGAACCTGAATTGAATTTTGAGTATTGAATTATTCATCACAGTCTAAATATAAACATATTTACACTTGAAAGTTGCAAGAAATTAACTCCTGATTTATCTTAAATGTGAATTTTCACTACAGTTCTAATAATTAATTGCTGTTTTCCAGGATAAAGAAGGTGGTTTTGTTGTGCGGGAGTCCAGTAAACAAGGAACTTACACCGTTTCTGTTTATACAAAGACATTAAGGTAAGTCACAAGTTTTAAATTCCAGAATAAAACTTATATCCATAGAAAATATTTAATCAAATATTTCTTCTGCTCAGTCCGAACGGAGACATTAGGCATTACCAGATAAAGACAACGAACACTGGACAGTTCTACCTGGCAGAAAAACACGTCTTCAGCTCCATACCAGATGTTATACACTACCATGAACACAATGCAGCAGGTAGGAGACGAGTTGGCGTCTCTGCAGACGAAGTGGGCGTTTCTCAGCAGCCACACCTAATTGGACGAACCAAATGAGCCGCAACACGATTGGACGAGAATTGAGAACTGTAGGGGTTCTCAAAGACCGGATGAAATTAACATCTGTAAAATATTGTGGAGATTGCGACATATTATTTTAATGTGTTGGAGAAATGAGATAGAATGAAGATTAACTAGCTAAAAAGCTAAAACTAGCTAGAAAACGGATAGCATCTACGCTAGCACTAAATGCTATCAATAGTCTTTTAGCTAATTTGAACTATTTAGTTAATTTTAGCTTTTACATTGTTTTTTTTTACTCTGCATGGAGTAGGTTCCTGTACATCAACATGCTAGTAATAAAATACGTCATGTAGAGATTCATTTCTGCTGCTGAACTAGCCAATCAGTGTTTTCGCTTTAGAAACGCCCATTTTGAATCTGCTCTCATAGTTTAACATCCTGGTCAGATATGACATTTTTCCTGTCATATCTTATGGTTTTATCGTTCTCATGTTTGGGTTTGTAGGTCTTGTGACCCGGTTACGGTACGCTGTGGGACCGATGGGAAGGTGTGTTCCAGCAACAGCAGGATTCAGCTCAGGTAAAGCCATTCATGTTAAGCTGTTAGATGCATCGTTTAAAGCTGCTGTCTGTAACTTTTAAAGAATATGATTTTTACATATTTGTTAAAACTGTCACCTTGTAGTGACAGTTTGTTATGAGGCAGATAATCTATGAAAAGACCCACTCTTTGAGCTGTTACTGCTGTCTGATGAAATGCACCAAAATCAACCAATCAGAGCAAGGAAATGGTCTTTAAAGCTGTCAATCAACCACATGTACTCACTGCTAAATGTCCCAGTGGCAGAAAACAACTTACAGTTACAGAAAAATTGTTTACCGCAGCCATCGGTGGCTATGCTAACTAGCATTAGCATTCACAACAGGCCTGTGCTAGCTGCAACATAGCAGATTTTCTGATCTTCTAGTGTTATCAAGGGACACAACTAATAAGATTCAATCAGTTTAACCTGATATTTTATTTTAATTGCCCCTGATTTTCTCTGTTTCAGAGAAGTGGGAGATAAACCCCAGTGAGCTGACCTTCATGAAGGAACTGGGCAGCGGCCAGTTTGGCGTGGTGAAGCTTGGCAAGTGGCGGGACCAGCAGAAAGTGGCCATCAAGTCCATCAGAGAGGGAGCCATGTACGAGGAGGACTTCGTCGAAGAGGCCAAAGTTATGATGTACGGGAGGAGAATCAGTACGAAAACCAATGAGACGCAGAGAACAAGTTTCAATAACGTTTTCTGTGTGTTCTGCTCCAGGAGGCTGTGCCATCCCAAACTGGTCCAGCTGTACGGCGTCTGCCTGAAGCACCGCCCCCTGCTGATCGTGGCTGAGTTCATGGATAATGGCTGCCTGCTGAACTACCTGCGGAAAAGGGGCGGAGCTCTGAAGGAGGCCTGGCTTATGTCCATGTGTCAGGACATCTGTGAAGGGATGGAGTACCTGGAATCTCACAACTTCATCCACAGAGACCTGGTGAGGCTCCAGCAGACCGACAGGGACGCTAAAGCTAGCCACTAGCTAAAGAACAGGATTGCTCAAGCTAGTTGCTAACTCTAGCACAGGGACACTCAAGCTAGTCGCTAGCTAAAAAACAGGATCGCTCAAGCTAGTTGCTAGCTCTAGCATAATCACACTAAAGCTAGTCACTAGCTTTAGCACAGGAACCCTCAAGCTAGTCGCTAGCTTTAGCACAGGAACCCTCAAGCTAGTCACTAGCTTAAGAACAGGAATGCTAAAGCCAGTCACTAGCTCTAGCACAGGGACACTGAAGCTAGTTGCTAGCTGAAACACAAGGACGCTAAAGCTAGTCGCTGGCATAGGAGCAGTCAAGCCAATCCCCACTGTATAATTTATTCTGTTAGGCTCTAGGGGGCAGTGTAGAGTCCCCTTGAGCAAATGTAACATTTAGAAGTAAAAAAACACAGAGGGAAATTTGCCAGATGCCGTCTGGACGAGGCGATTAGTTGAAGAAACCTATTTTGACCTCACAAACGCATCCGGCATAACTCAAGCTTTATGTCGTCATCAGTGTTTTCACAGCTGCAATGAAAAAGTAGCTAAACCACTGATTACTAATTTAGTTACTTAACTGATTACTTTATTTCAAAAGTAACTAGGTAAAATTGCATGTTAGATTATTAGTTACATCCAGCAACATAAACTTGAAAATGCCAATGATGCTCACTTAATTGGAAGCAGATTATGATCAGTAACTTCAGAAATATTTTAAAACGTCCTGAATATCCGTTTAAATTCTGTTTAAATTCTGTTCTTTATGTGTTTATTCTGTCTTATTCAGGCAGCCAGAAACTGTCTGATTAACGAGAACAACGTGGTGAAGGTCAGCGACTTTGGGATGACCAGGTACGGCCAACACTTTAGCTCCTTAGTAATGATAAAAATGTATGTATTAATTTATATAATTTAACACATGCTGCCATAACAACATCAACATTCTTTTATTTTTTCTTAGTACGGCTCTAATACTCTGTCATAGGAACATATAAACGTTTAGATTAGACATGTGACATTTATTTGTTTCGTCTCTGTTTCATCACCTGAGCTTTGAGCGTTTCTTTTAAACCGACTGCAGGTACGTTCTGGACAACCAGTACACCAGTTCCAGCGGCGCCAAGTTCCCGGTGAAGTGGTCTCCTCCGGAGGTTCTGCACTACAGCAAATACAGCAGCAAGTCGGACGTCTGGTCCTTCGGTAGGAGGCCTTAACCAATCGGCAGCTGATCGCGTGTTGCTCTAACGCCAGGGGTCAGAGGTCACTGACGTGTTTGTGTTCAGGTGTGTTGATGTGGGAGATCTTCTCCGAGGGTCGAACGCCGTTTGAGAGCCGCTCCAACTTTGAGGTGGTGAACGACATCACCAGAGGGATCCGGCTGTACCGGCCGCACCGCGCCTCCCAGCCGCTGTACACCATCATGTACCGCTGCTGGCACGAGGTACCGACCCGCTTCATCTTCACCGAGAAAAATGGCTCAGAAAACGCTGGGTTCTGGTATTTTCTGCTTCGCTGACAGGCTAGCTGCTTTTAGCACAACGTAAAAACAACAATAGTCTTTTCCAGCGTCCAGTCGGATTGTTTTTTGAAGCAAAAATTAACCTGCAGTGGACCAAGAGAAGCAGCTCTGTCATCCATTGTTATTGTTTTTACTTTTTCTAAAAATATTTAAGCAAATGGCACGAACCAGGGCGGGCCCAACGTGAGTTAACCAACCCGCCACCACCAGGGGACCAAAGAACACCAAGCTGGCATGATAAAAAAACAACATATATATTTAACTAAATGCTGTTACACATGGAAAAACAATTTCTACATTGTTTTCATAGTTGCTACACAAATAATAATTAATATCTTCCTGTTGATTCCTGCTGCTGTTGGGAAAATACAAGCTAACTTGTCAATTTGTTAACTGTAAATGTAGTATTTATCAGCTCATGTTACTTTCAAATAGTTAAAATAATATGGCGCACTTAAATTCTACTCTGCATTACAAAGTGCAAATAATTTTTTTGTAGTTAGCTACTCCTGTAAGGTTAAAATGAACAGCCATTACAACACTGGTATGATGAAAATGTAGCTTAGAAATGCTAAAGCATCTGGTGTTGACATGCTGGTATGGGGCCCCCCAAAAAAATCTGCTTTGGGCCCCAGAAAGGTTTGAGCCGGCCCTGTACACAACAACCAAACAAACAAACATCCAGGGGTGTTAATTAGACAAATACATGTAAACATTTATATTTGGAAATTGGCCTTTTCGTTGATACAGCCTGTTATTGATTTAACATTTTAGTCCCACATCCTTAACAAATCGAATGAAGTAACTGAATTGGAAAGTAATAACTCCAGTTTAATTTCCATGAATTAAGTGTATATTATTCTGTTAATCAGATATTTTTACTAACATCTTTTCTCCTCATTTTTCTTGGTCTTACAGAAACCTCAGGGTCGGCCGGCGTTCTCTGAACTCTTGGAGGAAATCAGAAAACTGGCAGAAAATCCAGACTAACACAAAGATACTATTCTTTTACCTCTGAATATCAAACTGTTTTTAAACTCATATGTACAAATAAAACATGTTTTAATGTTGTATGTAGATGTATAAATTAAACTTACGTATGCCGGTGCTTTAAATCATTTATTTATTTTGAAATATGCAATAAGACCAGCAAGAGATTTTAAATTTTAAGCTGATTCTAATGTGAAGTTGGTTTTATATATATGAAGCTTCTGTTTATATTAATGTACAGACTGTAAAGTACAAACTAGCAGCAAAACTGTGTATGATTGTTGATGAAGCATGAATGAGTGAATAAATGTCACTTTAAATCTTTATGTTTCGACTTTCTCCATTTTTTAGTTACAGAGCTTTGCAAAGTGAATGAAAGTGTATATTTCAGAGGGGGCGCAATGCCCAATTGTTGGTGTCTCTTTGAATTTTTGAGGATTGTAAACAAATCTTAACACCAAGCTTTGAAGAAGTCGATAAGGAGACAAAATAAAGGTTTCTAGACTAGTTCAGTCTTATTTAACTCTAATCAATCTACTGTTTTATCTTCTCTAGCAGCAGGTTGTGTGACAGAGCTCAGAAATTGGGGTTGTTTCTGTCCAGCATTGCCATCTGCTGGACATTTAGATTAAAAAAATGTCTATAAAATTAGTTTTAGCAGATGAAGAAATGGGTGGATAGATGTATTCATCTGACATTTTCGGGACTAAAAAGACCCTCAAAGAGCTATAAAAATGCACTTTTCCAACTTGGAACATTAGTTGAACCTTTTATTAAAATAAAATTTTTCTTCACTGTGAAAAATGTTATCGCGAAAGGCAAAGGCATTCGCTAAAAGGCTAAATTAAACTGACCGTTACCGTTTCAAAGCCGCTAAATTGGGCCAGAATTTGGTGTTTCTTATGTTTTCATGCTATTACTTGTGATGAATAACTAAAATATAGTTGCTACAAATGTTAAATTGAAGGTAAAATGCCTTAAAGTTGTTTAATTAATCAGTTTATTTCATATTTCAATGCCTCCAGGAGGAACAGCCGTTTTTTCTTTCTTTCTCGAATTACGTCACCAGCGCGGGGCGGGAGGGGAGTGTTGCCGTGGCAACGCGTCGTTTGAAACACTCGCCGCTGCGTGGCCGTGTACTCAGGTGACTCTGACACGTTCCCACACACACAACGAAGACACGGATACTCAGGTGTTTACGTTGATGGAGCAGATTAAAGCGACAAACTGAGATCAACCGCTGAGGTCGGTGACGTGGTGAGTTTGTTTTTGTTGGTTTTTTCCTGTTTTAGTCCATAGAACCTCCATCATGTGGTTTTAGGACACGCAGTAACTTATTGTGTCTTATTTATAGCTCTGTTGTCTAAAAATCAGTTTTCAACTGTTATAAAGAAAAAAGGTAATTTGATACAAGATATTCAAAAGTAAAGACTTTACTTTGTCTTTTTTATTGTTGTAATTTCAGTGTAATTTATTTTCTAGAATTAGTTCATAAATCAAATGTAATAATGGCATAATAATGAATCTGCATTAATGTTCACCATTATTTCCTATCAAAAGTGTAGTATTTTCTTAATTTCTGATATTTTTATTATTAACCTGGTCCATATTAGTGTCTTTCTAAGATTTTATTGAAATGGAAATTGAAAACATTGAATATGAATTGGCTGTGACTAAGAAAGGGCTGAAATATTCAACTGTTCAACATTTGAATATTTGGTTTTTTATTACCAGTCCAAACTAAAGCTCTAGAGTCTTTAGCTTAGAAGACGTTATTCAATAATTCATAGGTCAGTATTAAGTAGCAAACAAACAAAAACATTCATCGGAATGCAGTTTTATTACTAAAGCAGTAATATTACTAGAGTAAAGATGAGTGAAAAAGCAGGATGATCCTCAAAGCCTTCAGAATTTGTGATCAAGACTAAATTAAACCATAAAAAGAAAGTCCTTAAAAGGGGCCGTTTGAGGAGGATATACTAAAATAAAGAGTGAAGCATGGTGCTAATATTCAATATGTGTAATAAAAGTTTGCTTTTTTTATTTAATTTGATACAAATAACTTGAAAGCTTTGTTCTGTCCTTCAGAACAAAACTTTGATGGAGCGTTACGAGTCTCTGGGTCCGGTCGGGGAGGGCACTTACGGCACTGTGCTCAAGTGCCGTCATCGACACTCCGGTCGCCTCGTCGCCATCAAGAAATTCTTGAACTTGGATGATGATGAGACGGTGAAGAAGATCGCCCTCAGGGAAATCAAGCTGCTCCGGGTACCTGCCAATCATCCCATCAACCGTTCAGTCAATCGGTCAATGAATAACTGAGCCTGAAACATGAGTGGTGCTGAAACACTGAGATAATCAGCCAACCACAAGACAAACAAGCTCAAATTCTCACAAACTAACCTGTTGCTTTGAGTTGGTCGAAATGTTGTGAACGCCTGACCCGTTAAAAACCTTTGACTGGAAACCATGATGGTCAAAGTGTTAATTATAGTGAAAGACAAAAACTACATGCATCTACATTCTCTGCTCTCTTTTGAATCTTACAGCAACTGCGTCACGACAATCTGGTGAACCTCCTGGAGGTGTGGAAACGCCGTCGTCGCTGGTATCTGGTGTTTGAGTTCGTGGACCGGACGCTTCTGGATGAACTGCAGCAGTGCTCAAGCGGGTTGGACTTTAATACCTGTCGGCAGTACTTATTCCAGATCCTTAGAGCTGTCAACTTTTGTCATCAGCAAGATGTAAGGAATACTTTCAAAGCTTCTTTTTAACATGAGCAAAATTGGCATCAAGGATAATTAAATTTACTCCACAGGTTCAGAGGTCCAGGCTAGTGTTTCTCATCAAGACTCACAGCTTTAAAGTCACAAATTAAATTATTTTTCCAATAAATATGTCATGGAAATATGTGATCCTGTGTAGGTCGTCCATCGTGACATCAAACCTGAGAATATCCTCATCTCTCAAGAGGGTGTGGTCAAACTGTGTGATTTTGGCTTTGCCCGAACCATTGCATCGCCCTCTGAAGGTGTTGTGTATACCGACTACGTAGCCACTCGTTGGTACAGAGCTCCCGAACTGCTCGTAGGGGACATCAAGTATGGAAAGTAGGTATTTTTGCACTGCTCTGGTTTCCTGTGGGATGTTATGAATACCAAACAATAACTGGTAGGTGTGTTTGTATGTGTAGACCGGTAGACGTTTGGGCGCTGGGTTGTGTTTTAATAGAGATGCTGACCGCACATCCTCTGTTTCCCGGAGACTCCGACCTTGACCAGATATACCACATCGTCAGATGTTTTGGTAAGCTCCTACTGTTACCTCATCAGGATATTGATTCTTATTCTTTTATTAATACATTCTCCTTGCCTCCAGGTAGCTTGACGGCTCATCACCAGGAGTTATTTTACAGAAATCCTGTCTTTTCTGGAGTTAAACTACCTGAATGTTCAAAAATTGTTCCACTGCAACAACGCTTCCCCAAAGTTCCACCAAATGCCCTTGATCTGGCACAGGTATTGCACAGTTTGGTTATCAGTAAATGCCAAAGACGATCCAACAGTTTGAATCAATGAAGTGTTAAGTAAAAATTCTGTTTTGGTATTAATTGACCAAATAATTTACATAATTTATACCGTAATTTGTTGCTCAGAAATGTCTAGAGAGGGACCCAAAAATACGAGCTCAGTGTTCAGACCTGTTAGAGCATCTTCTCTTTACTCAAGACTCTTTCAACATCAGGTATACTTTACCTTTGCTTTGTGAAATAAGTTTCAAATGCTTGAATTTATCTTCTATATAGTCAAAAATTCCTGCATCTTTCTTTTTGTCTGCACAGATTTTTAGATGAGCTGAACACTAAAATTCAAAAAGACCACAGAGAAAACTCAACACTTCCCAAAATACCAAAAACGACACTGCCAGAAACAGATAAAGGGGATGATAAAAACTGCAAAAACAAAGACAAGAAACAATCAGAAGAAACTGAAGAGAAAGTAAACAAGGATAAGACAGAGAAAACAAAGGGAAAACAACCGTCCAAGCTGTCTAAATCTATTCATACCACAAATGAATCTTTTATGACCAAACAACCAAAAACATTTGGCAACAAGGACATCTATCACACAGAGCAGTTTTCAATGAAACCAGAAAAAACACCTGGTTCAGAGTTAAAGGAGTTTGAGATTTTAAAGTCAACTAAAATCTGTCTCTCTGACTCATCAAATGTCACCAAGAAAGCTGCAAGCTTAAAGAAGAAAAGCTCAGCAGCAACAAAACCTAAAAATGAACCTGAAGTGTCTCTAGACTCAAGCAAAGACTGCCTTCAGAAGGCCAAAGACATAGACTACAGTGACCCGGACAAAGAGAAAACCATGAAGCTCCTTGGAGAATCCTCTAAATCTGAGACAAACGAAGAGTTTGTGAGGAACTCAAGCAACCTTACCTTAAAAGTTTGTAAATTATCCAAAATTTCCATCACTGATGGTCGAAGTTTAAATTTATCCCCCAAAACCGTTTTGGAATCGGACACAAGTGTAACATCTACATATCCTCTACCGTCCTTCAATGACTTTACTACCCCAACAATGGTCGATGCCACAAAGTCAGGAAAGACAAGTTTGGCATCAAAGTTTCAGATTGAGATATTGGAAACCAATGCAAAGCACGACTCCTCTGAATGTCTGAAAGCCAAACAAAAAAGCTTCAGGAAATCCCAAACTATCTCAACTAGTGGTCAACAGACTCATAACACCTCATTCAGTCCTTCGAGGGCTGTTGCAGATCTTTCCAAACAGTCATTTATGCCTGTTACAGAAACCAGTGCTGCCCACAACCTGTCCGCCCTACCTCAAGGAATCTCACTTTCAAAAACAAAGACTCCTTCAAAAGACAAGGAATCTACTGATGACCAGGATGTTAGGAAGTATCACAGATTCTTGAAGCTGAATCCAATGACAGAAACTCCAACTCAACCTATTTGGTTGGCCCATGTTTCAGATGGAGATCCTGATTCATCAGAGCATTATTTTTCTAGTTGGCAAAGCAACATGATTGCAGCAGAAGAAAAAGCTACATCAACCCTTGTGCCAAATGAAAACTTACCAGTGGAAAAAGCTCTGACAGATTCAGTGCAAGAGAACCAAGAGGATTCAGCCATTTCTGTGTCCAGTAGTTCAACAGCTAATGCCTTAATGAATAAAACCTTTATGCTTCCCGAAAGGTCACCTATTGACAAAAGGAACAATAGCAGTCAGGAGTTCAAATTTGATGCAAAGTCTTTGAACATTTTCCACCATAATCAGAACCCAACAATGTCTCAACTGTTGGGTGATCACACAAGGTTCTCGGTGAACCCCAAGAATCAAAGAACTGCATTTACTCCAGATGGAAGGAAGAAAAGCAACAAGCTAGAAGAAAATAACACAAATATGTCCTCTGATTCTGTGGATCACAAAGCTTTGACGAGAAGTCTTAGCCTTCATGAAAGGGACTCTACAGACACTGATGAATTTAATCACAGTGTAGCCCAATTATGTACACCGTCTCCTCCTCCAGCACCTGCTACCAATCTCCTTCACCTCCCTCCATCTTCCAAGACCCTTACCCCTTCCATCTTTGTCTCCAGTGCCAACAGGTCTGCTGCCAGCGATCACCTTCAGGGGGGACGTTTTCATACCGGGACCAACAGTCTTTGGTAGTTCTCAGTGTACTTGCCTTTGAAATTTTGACCCAGCTAAGAATAATTCACAGATATAAGGCTGATTTGTTGGACCCTCCAACCCTTCAATGGTCTAAAGAAAAGCCTTTTGTGTTGTCCGAAAAGCTTGTACTTAGTCTAGTGGGGTGTATAGGACCTTGAGGGGTTTTGTGTGTGTAGTTTCGGGAACTGACGGTCTAACGGGACATCCTCCTCCTGCTTCCCCACTGTCTGATCATGACATCTGTTGCGCAGAGGCCGGAGGAGCCATTGTCTTAGTGGGAGGGTTGAGTAAGCAGTTCCTCTCTCAAGAACTCCTGAAATGTTTGTCCAGTAGTTGAAAACATGAATCTGACTTGGCCGGTTGGACAAACTCAAACTTAGATGTCTTTTTAAATGTTGCCTAGCTGGACGGCTAGGTCAGTCCGACTGCTTTTGATATACTGTATTGATATATTGATTATTTTGTGTTTTTGTAACTTGATTTTTTTTGTTTTATCAATGTAAAGTCAATATTTCTAGCCAAACTTACCCCAAAGCTAGCACTAGCAAAGTTGAGGGAACGTTTTTTTGTCAGATTCTTAAATCGCGCACAATCCAATGAGAGGCTTGTTGAACAGTTGGATAAGTGTTATACATGACTTGCTGTTCCTTTTGTATGTTGTAGGAATTTAGTTAAACCAATATGTTATGGTCATGGTCGACAGGACCAACAGTTTGGACTGAACCAGGCCACAAGGTCCTTCACCTTGCAGGTTGTAGTTTGAACTGGTGTCTTTCTAGCTTACAGCCAAGAAGGATATTTCTAATAACTTATATCAACTGTTTCTGTCTCTCTAGGCACCAGAAAAGAGTTTTGTAAGTGAAAGGTCTAAAAACATCGTCCATTTCCCAGATGTAAGAACCTCGGTGTTGCCGGAGCTCAGTGGAAAAGAAGGTATGGACACATTTTTGCAAACTCTTTCTGTCCTACACTAAATCTGACCATTTTCCTTTTCTATTTTAGGTTAGTTGTTATTACAGATTTTTAAAGTTACTTTCTTTAAGGACATAAGTTTACAAACACATACATTACTAGGTCTTCAAGCAATCTTAAGCTTCTGATACGTTAATACACAAAACATTTGAGTTAAGTGGATGTATTTCCTTGTTCCTGGAGGTGACATGTCCATCTGTTCAAACAATTAAATGGAAGTATAAACATCATGGGGATGTTCAGCAATCACATTGTTCAGGTAGCTGAGGCGCTGTGAAAACTAAACATAGAGAAACTTGCATGTCAAACCCAGAACAAAAACATAAAACTGGAAACACAAAATAATTTAACGAACCGCTCAGTAAAAACGCAGCATTAGAGGAAAACTATTAGAAACCACATATAATTTAAGTTTAATAAAATAAAACTTTTATTATTGTCTTATAAAGTGCCTAATTCACATCTCCAGCTGTACATCAAACCTTGCCAGAAGCAAAATAAAATGTTTAATGTCTTCTCAGCTAAACAGAGCAAAGCTGCTACCAAGGAGCAGAGGACAGAAAAGACTCCAGTCTCACCCAGTCCACCATCGGAAGGACAATATGGACAAAACTTCAGCACAAATACACCAAAACAGATGGAGTAAAAGGAGTTCCCTCTCCCATTAAAACTATACTGATTTTAATTTTTTTATTATTTAATCATGGTGACGTAAACACTACTGAACTATACTTCAAATACTGACTTTAAATTCCTAAAATGTTAAACTTTGAGTATGAGAACACATTTATAGTTATCATTTCCTCTAACAACCTTTGATTATTGAAAACTGCTGATGAGTTATTTATTTTGGTATTTTCGTGATAAAGCACAACACAGGGAACTGTAAAACAACTAATGCAACTTTTCCCCCAAAGAAATCAGCAATAAATAAGCTGTAAAAAACCATGTTTGGGTGTGTTTTGTTGGTCACATGTATAAAAACTGAAACTTCTGTAAACTTTAAGAAATCCAACCCATAAAATAAACTAATTACAACAGGTGGGTCCACTGAAAACTTTCCCACTGGTTTCTGTATTTAGCATCGATATTAAGTTACTTAAGAAATAAACATACTCCTGGTTTAATCCTACGACTCATCACTTGAATCTTCTGACGTAATGGCCCTAAGTCTCCAGGCTGGCGCTGACTCCTCACTGCTCGACATCACATTCAGGCTCCTCATTGGCTGAGAGCCAGACGAACGCCCTCTGCCATTGGCCAGCAGCTGCTGGAGGAGTCTGAGGGCTTGGTTGGTGTTGTGGTTTCTGATTGGTCCTCCAGCAGCTGGTTGTTTCCTGATTGGCGCCTTGGTTACCGGCCTCCTTGCCGACGATCGGGCCACGGGCTTTTGGGTTCTGATGACCTGCTGTGAAGTTTTACAAATAACAAAATGTTTACTCCTCTAACAATGATTTAACACAAATACTAGATTATTAAATCTGATGCTGTGTATGTATTTATTTCAGAAGCGGTCAGTCTCATGAGGTTTGGGCAGAGTGGTTATAGTTTTTCAAACTCGTGATCCAGTTTTGTGGTTATGTCTAAGCAAAAAGCAAAATGGTAATTGAAATTGAAACAAACAGCAGTATTCTATAGTTTAATGCTTTATTCTAAAGTATTAATTGTAGGTAGGATGTTGAAGTAAAAATGGTGGCTATCTTCTATTCCATAGCAGCCATCTTGAAACCATAGATGGCTGATTTTAATTATGTTGGCACTGAAAATGTTTTCATGGTTAAACTGACTGATCCTCCACATAGTAATCAATGATCATCTATGGGATCCAATATGGCAGCCAAAAACAAAGAAAGATACACTATTCTGTATCTGTCTGTATGTGCCAACCCTACAGCGAATTCCACCTCAGAAAATATTTGTGCAGCTTCAAAATCTCAATTTAAATAGTGTGACACAAACAAGATGTACAAGTCTTCTCTGGACTTCATTGTGGAAACTTTCACCAGGCTCACCAACGTTTGGTTTCTATCGTTGGTGATAGAAACCAACGATACCTTGGAATCCTTACCCTTGCGGTGGCAGGCCTGGTTGTTGCTTTGGTTGTTGTTGGACTGATGTTAGATCCCGTGTCAAAAATCTTGCAGGTCTCATCGACAGGTGAACCGTCAATCTCTGGAATCTCAAATCCCAACAAAGACGGATAAGACTCAACTGTGGAAGAGAAATCAGAGGAATGTTGGTTTCTGCAATGGACAGCATGGATCAACTGCCTGAAACTCTTCAGTTTCTTCTTTAGTTGTAAACTCTTTCCTTTGACTCTTCTGCTGAAAACTATATGACAAAAGAGAAATATTATAACCGCTTAACTCCATTTTTGTTTAGTTTGTGAAGAAGGAAGTTGCGCTCAGTGTCTTCTTCTGAGGTTTTTGTGTCGTTTCCTTAAGTGGTTCTTGGTGCAGCGCCCCCACAGGCAAGGAAGGGAACAAGCAAAGAGTTCGGATAATTTGACACAGTGCAGTGTGAAAGAGAACCGTAGCTGCTGAAAATGTAACAAATGTTGTTATTTTGGTTCCAGATTTAACTGAGTCTACCCGGACTAACAGGTGGGAAACACTCTGAGATTAATCTGTAATTTTTTTTTTTACTTGTTTATTGCCAAATATTTGAAAAAAAAATTGACTGGATCTATATCTTCTGTACTCTGTTTGTATGAAGGCGTCTTTGCTGCAATCTGATCAGTCAGTCTGTGCTGCATTATTTATAACAACAGCTCTGAGGTGTTTTTCTTTGGTCTCCATCTTTTGTTGCCACCTGAGCTGCTATAAACACATCAAAAGATTAAATTACAGCCTGATTCCCAACATGCTGAATCATCCTGTCTGCTTCTTTCAGCTAAAAACAAAACATTTTCTAAGAGTAAAGTTATTAAAACAGTGATGAGTGAATCTGTGCTCACCTGGGATCCAGTTGTTGCTGTGAACTTTGAGGAAAAGCAGGAGGAAAATGATGGATAAAGCAGAGAAACAGGGAGACATGATGACTGCAGAGGAAGGTGATGAAGAGTGAAGGAGGCAGAGAGGGAGTGGAAGTGAAGAGGAGTAGGACGGTGTCTAGACTTTAAAGGTTACTCAGAGCAAATTTGTGGCTCAGAGTTACAACAGAATAAAATCCTTCCTGCTTTTCCCTGGGAATCTCTGAGTGACTTAATCCCAGGAATGTTTCACAATCTCTCTCTAGCTTTTACTTGTTTTTAACAGAGTCGGTGGATTTTTAGTAAAAAAAAACATAAATTTAAGCATATTTTATCAGATCAATGTTTGTTAAATTAAAACAGGACAAATGTATTAACACTTATTGAGGAAAAATAATGAGTCTGGAAACAGGTTTCCTCCTATTTATTATGATTTGGGATGGAGACGGTTGGAATTCCCCAAACGTCTCCTCCAATAAAGTTTGAACCATCTTGCCAAACCTCCCAGCAGCAGCAGCGTTGTGTAATTATATTCCAGCCCAGATTAGCCGAGCATTAAGCCCAAAAGCTTTGTTTGATCTCCAGAGACAAGGTTTCCAAAACACTTCACATGTGAAAGCCAGCTAGAGACAACGGCGTGTCAGGGCCACAGAACAGAAAGGAGCAGCAAATTTAAGTTAAAAAACTCAGAAATTTTCAAGGAATATTTTAGAAACGTCTGAGTTTAGAAAAGCTGAAAGTTTGGTAGAAAAAAATCGAAAAGCTGATTTAGAGGAAGATAGATAGCTCTTTCTGTTCCACGTTGTTTACATTTTCTTTCTCTAAATCTCCCTATAATTAATAAATGTGGTTGTCTGCTTTTCTGTTTGAATTAGAAATAAAAATCTTAGAGTGGACGAACATGAGTACTGATGTTAAATGTGGGTGAAGCCAGATCTCTTGGAGAGAACCCACACCTGCAGGGGGAGACATTTCCCCCTGTGCTGTCCTGCCTTTTTAATATTGAAATGTCCAATTAACAGCAGCTCTTTTTCCAGTTCCTGAAGTTTCCAATTCTACAGGAACCTTACTTGTTATGTAAGGTTCCTGTGGATGAACAGTGGATGAACATGAGTACTGATGTTAAATGTGGGTGAAGCCAGATCTCTTGGAGAGAACCCAGACCTGCAGGGGGAGACATTTCCCCCCGTGCAGTTCTGCCTTTTTAATATTGAAATGTCCAATTAACAGCAGCTCTTTTTCCAGTTCCTGCCAATCACCCAAACCACAGATGGCCCCAGCCCCCTTTTAAATCTAATATCTAATTGACTCTACCCTGGATGGACTTCAGGTCTGTCCTTGAACTGGCGCCGATGTTTTGGAGTTAAGGCCATCTTGATTTGCCTCCACAGTGAGATCTTTTTCCTCGGCCTCTCTTCTTGTTCGCAGACATTGTTCTCCTCAGATGATTCTTCAGCTGCTTGACTTTCAGATTCCTGAGATGTTGTTTGGATTAGATCTTCCTGTCATGTAATCTCTATCTGTGGAGGGGATGTTCTCTGTTCTTCCTTTAGGCCACTCTGTCCTTCTGTGGAAACTTCATGAACCTTGCCTGTTATGTCTTCTGAAACTGTGCAAAGTTTTGTCTCCATTTGTTCAGAAACTGTCTGAGGGATCTCTGGTGTTATTTCTGAGTCAGATTTTGGTGTCTTAGTGTTTGGGACTGAGTTTTGATCTGTCTCTATTGGTCTTGCAACGGTTTCCAGTTCAGCTTCCATTGCCGTCTTTCTCTGTTTCTTGCATTCAGATTTAGACAATGGTTTTAAAATCAAATTAACATAATTTCCGATGCCGGCTGTCTGATCCCCAATTGTTTCTGATATAGAAACTTCTTGCTGTTCATCATTTGCTCCAGAAACATTTTCATTGTTCAGGGTTTCCAATAGCCTGGTCTGCCGATCCGGATGTCCATTCAGTTGTGCTTCAGAGGGCTGGTTTTTCAGCAATAAACAGAGCTCAGTTCGTGTTGACATCGTCTGATAAACTGGTTTGAATTGACATCTGGTTTCCAGTTCATCTATCTTGGTTTGGGTTGAAATTGTTTGACAGACTGGTTTTAATTGTGAGCCGGTTCCCTGTACATCCGTCTCTGTTTGTGCTGAAGCAGACTGGTAGACTGGTTTCTGCTTTGAGTTGTCTTGTCAATCTGTCTGAACCTGAACAGAAACCATTGACTTCTTGCGCTGTCTTCTCTCTGTGGGTACTTTCCTTATGAGATCGTTCTGCTGTTTAACTTTATCAAATAATTTATGATTTAGATTGACCACCTCATCAAGCCGTTTCATTAAATATTTTTGTTCTCTGATATATTCCAATTCACGCTCCTTAAATTTGGCTTCACACAGACATTTTGCTTGACTTGTCTTTTCAGATTACCTTGTTGTTTGAGAAGGACCTGGCTGCAGAATTTATAAGAAATTTATTTACAAATTAAAAAATAAATCGCGTCTCAGTGCGTTCTCGAAGGGATGTGAGCCCTAGCTACCTGTATGGGAGGGGAGAGCGGCTGGCAGGAGGGAGGGGCGCCTAATCAGTGCTGTTCCTCCGTTATTGATCATTTCATACACAAACAGCTGATAAGTACATAGCATACTGGCTAGGAAAGAAAATCCCCGCATCGTTTTTGCGCCCCCTCTAGTGCAGCGACCCTATGCGATGCATCCACTGCATACCCACTTTTTGCACCGCTGACTCACCCCCACCTGTCAGATCAGAGCTGAGCCTTGTTATTTAGTGTAATTTGTGGGGATGCTTCAGCTTTTGATTTGTTTAGCAACACGTTTAGGAAACAGTTACTCATTCAGATTACACGTGAGGATTTCCCTCCCACACGTTTACAGAAGCAGCTCTCCCATAATTAAAGTGGATTTCCCCACAGCACAGCAGGGGAATGTCTGTTTACATCAGGCTTTATCTTCATCATGATCCCCTTCCATTTTCTTCTTTTACCAAAAATAAAAGGCACTTTAAAGCTGACACTTTAAAACAGCAAGTGTCTAAATATAGTAAACTTTGTAAAGGTGTTCAAAGTAAACACCTGGGCTTCTTCGACAGCCCCACCTAGAGGTGACATTATTGAACAGGCTCTGATAAATTAACATTTTCCTGGTTTCCAAATAAAGATAACTCAGAGTTTTGTGTTATTCCCTCACCAGCAGTAAAGAACAAGCTTAGAAAAAATATCCTGCTGTGATTAGGACGATATCAGTCAAAAATATTTGAATTACTATTTTCTGTCTTCATATTTCTTTGTAAATTTTTCTGAGAAATCTGTTTGGGTGGCATGTTTAACTTCAACAGTTCACTTAAGAGTTGAAATTAATTAGTTTGCTATTTGGCTAAATGTTAAGACGCCTTGAGACATATGCTTTTTTGTGACGTATTTCCAAATAAAGTAACTGATTAGCTTCGGAGGGGTTAGCATGCTACATCTGTTTGGGCTTCTCGGCGCTACGGTCGTGTGTGACGGATTTTTAGTCCAATACAGACAACAAATATATCTATAGATCGGATTTTAAGTATCAGCACACAAGCGTTTACTTATAATAGATTATTTGGTTAACAAAAGCCCGATTAAAACACAGTGAGCTAACCGTTAGCTTTATTAGCAGACGTTGCTAATAGGGCTAACGGTTGCTACTTTACACAAATTGACGCGATAGAGAAAATCCTGCCTTAACTCCTCTTTTGGCTTCTTTTAAACCAAAATATAAAGTAAATAATAAAGTAAAATGTATTTTTTGCTATTTTGTAAAGCTTGAATTTATTTTTGTTTAAATAAAATCTTAAAAAGGTCAAAGAAAAAAATGATATTGGAATTTATTTTTAGTTCGTGTCAAATGTTACCTTGTTCACTGAGATGACCAACAAGCTTGATCTGAGTTGGCATTTTATGGGGGAAAAATAATATTAAGAGTTTAAAGAATAAACTTAGAATATAATCATATTTATTTTTAAACAAACTGTTTCCATGTTTGTTTGATTTAAAGGAACTGCTTTATTTCTGTAGAAAAAAAATTACATATATAAAATGATAAATTTACATGACTTTCAGCATTAAAGTGCAAAAATCAAAATAAAGCTATACTCATACAGCATGATGCAGTGATATACGGAGTGAGTAAGAACCAAACATTTCACAAGTTATCTGGGATAAACATAGCTGGTTTCAACAGAATAAACAACCGTAAATACAATAATGAACCAAATGGATGGAAAATAACAAATTGTGTCTAAATTTTGGTTGCAGTGTTTCCTGAAGGCTTTATGTGAACTTCTTGATGAAGCGCAGTTTGAGGTATGCAATGGTGAGGAAGCAGATGATCATGATGCTCAGAGCCAGGTGGTTCTGCCAGAGACCCCAGGTGGAGAAATCAACTCCCTGCTCCTTCAGGTAATCCTCACCTGACCTGCTCAACACACAACACGCATTACAATCAGCAACACTGAGCTTTTAGGCATTAAACAGTCCAGGTTGGTTCGTCGTTAAAAGGTAATTAATTAATTGATGATAAAAAAAAAAAACATGCCAGTATTTTTTTAGCTGCAGATGTGTCCTTTGCTACAAATGATAAAGCGATCGATGTCATCACATTTTAGGTAATAAGTTATTTATTATTTGTTCATTTTTAAATATTTCTAACATTATACAAAAAGGTTTACATGAAAAATATGCAGAATATACCAATTTTTTATCTGATTAATAAATTGTCAGAATAATCAATAGAATAAAATCAATAACTAAAATAATTGTTAGTCGCAGCCCTAGAATAAAGTAAACATATGGCTGCGGAAATGTTAATGTCGTTCCTAAAAGTTTGTTTTTGTGTTTTTCTCGGCGTCTTACATGGAAATGTTTCCTTTCCAGGTGAACTCCAGACCAGGGAACTCGTTTGCTTGCAGAGCCTAAAAACCAAAAATGAAGAACAATAATTAATAAAAATTACTGCATACACGTTAAAAACATTCAATTCACAATTTTAATTTTAGCAAATATGGATAATTTCTGGTTTGTGTACATACACTCAGTCCATATCTGGGTATACTGAGGTACTTCAACCAGGAGAGCCAGTTGACGATGGAGGTTACGTTCACCAACAGACCTGCAAAGATCTGCACAAATAATTAGGTTTTAAATGTTTTTCACCTGTATTATTGACAATGCTTTAAAAA